AGACCACTGACGTTTGAGAAAGTGTTAATCATAAGTTGTTACAAGATAACCAGAGACGATGCCTTTCTCTAAGCTGTTTCTCAAAGGATGGCCAAAATCCTGTACCGTTACAACTCATAAAGGGCCTTGGTATCAGAACTTGCAATAACCATCTCCTTGACCAACCATTATACTATGGGATTATTCGGATTATACACTCACAGCAGTCTGGTTTATCTCGCCCAGAAAGGGCAGGATACCTACTTTATAAAGGCTGAGTGAGCCCCAATAGCGTATCAAAATTTCCTAAACTATCCAAGGCTGATATTACATAATTGAATAAATTTTCTGTGACAAAGGGATGGTTCCACACCTATCAATTCAAAGAGGATTTTACTTAACAAATCAAGGAATCCAAGTTAGGTAATTTGATCTACTAGTGAGCCACTGCCTGGCACAACTTTCACATCGCCTCCGAAGGACTTGTTCCAACATGCACTTCGCTACTTGGCACCCCACAGCCGTGGATCGGCTAGGCCGAATCCTCATTACTACTGACCGTGGCTTCGACAGTTGTCAGTTCCGTTATAAGACCGCTATAGCAGATAATTGTCATCGCTCCATTGGTCACCCTAGTCCTGGGTTGTCATCCTGCTCCCCGAGGATGGTATCCATTCTCGCCTATCATCGCGGAATATTACATTTCCATTGTTTGTCCGGGAAAGGAAAAGTAGCATCGATATGTATGACTTTTCATTTTATAGGGAATTTCTCCTCGATAAATAAAATGACAGAAACACAGAATAAATCAACAAAAAAAAAAGTTTATTGTACTCAAACCGATGTTTTATCAATGTTTATTTAAGATTTCAATGTTTTAAGATTCTTCGTTTCCATTGAAGTTATCTAAATTAGAGAGGTATCTAGCTCATTTAGGCAGATTTTCAAACTTAACGAATTATAAACTCCCGATTTAAAAAAAAAAAACGAACAATGTTACTGGCAATCCTCTTCAGAGTTCATCCGAGTGTTAGGTGTGACGATTGTGTTACACCGCACTGTCTGACTTTGGTTTTGACCTAGGTCGGGAGAAGGAGATTGTATCAGATTCCGGATTCCCTCACCATTTATTTATCCTGTTGGAGAAAATAACCCTGTAGCATGAGCGAGTAGGTGTTTTGGAATGAACACCATCCGAACAGAAGATTGCATCAGTAAATCAAAGATCCAGCTTTCGTAAGACGCCGCTAATCTTGATCCGTTAACCCGCCATCAATATTTTCGGGGCGCTCGAAATTTTTCTTATCAAGAAAACTGTGATTAAAGAGTTACGAAGTTTGCGCCATAAATTTATATTATACATTTGATTATTTTATGGAGAATTTTTCCATATTCGTTTCAGTTATTTTCAAAATCTTTAAGTTAGGACATCTAGAGGTCCCTTTAGAGCCTTTAAACCTTTACTTAATACGCCGTAATTTGAAAAGATTTTAGATTAAACATTTTTCTGAACTTGAATTTGTTTGATTATTATTGATATTTTATTATGCCTAAGTATTACATTATATATATTTACAAGCATATGGTACATACTTTTCTCGATTTTTACCAATGGTATACGTATTTTACGTAGAACCACGTAATAAGCAGACTTGTTTCCTTAAATTAATTTTTTTTTGTAATTGAAATATCATAGATTTAAAAAAACACATTGATAAAAAAAGTATATGTTCCAAGATCTCTCATATTTTATAGTTCTTGCGAGATCAATTAATTTTTTTATGTTTATCATCATATAGAACTTTTTTTTTTCTCTGTAAGTTTCAGACAGTTTTTAGTGTTAGTATTTTTTTTAAAAATTGTGCATACGTTTTAGTTTTACACTTAATTTTTTTTTTAAACCTCATTAAATTAAATTAAGGAAAAGAGAACGAGGGATGAAATAAGGACTGAAGTTTTAGCGGTGACCTGTAAGTCTAAAATCCCAGCAGGTTGTCCGTTAATAGTCTCATTCTCACGACCCTAAGGAGCAACTACCTCCACCTGCTTTATAATCAAGTTATAAGTTTAAGTTCTATTTAAGAGTATGTTTTCTTTCTTTCTTATTTTGCTGTTTGATAAAATAATATATAGTTCATTTTTAATTCCTTTTGTTTTGATTATTATTAAAAAACAAAATCCGTCAGTATTCTTTAAGTTTAATTTGAATGAACTTGATATAAATATTGCAGACGAGATTTTCATATTGTTGTAGACGACGTTAACGAAAGAAAAATGATTATCATGTTGATAAGGTTATTAAATCTAGTGCCCCATTAGTCTATTCTATCTAGACATTTTTAAGTATCTATGTACTTACAAAACCTAAGAATTTTGATGAAAAGTTCTTAGATCTTATAAAATAGTAAATATGTTGATGTTTTTTTTTGTACTTTTTTTGTGCCGCAAATAAAATCACCTTTCGGTTTCTATCTACTTTGATTCACATCTTGTAGCAACAAATAAAATTTGTTTCGAGACGATTGTAGTAAGAAATCTTAAAAGTCGTATATAAAATAAAATATTAAAAATATGCTTGTGATTCTCTCTATCAAATTTCATATCAATACAAAATATGCTAACTTTTTAAATTTGACCAAATAGGCAAATTTCATCTGACTTCTTAGGTCACAAAAAAAATATATATATAGTTACTATTCAATTCAAGATCAAAACAATAGACATATATAAACTAATGTTCTTTATTTCGTATAGAAATAAAATTTCTTCCCCAAAATTCTGCTTTCAGAAACAAGTCTTCTCATTCTGGAATGGGTAAATAAGTAATGTTTACATAATAAATTACAGTTTACATAATAATACAAACTGTGCAAATATTTTTCTTCCCAACCTACTTTATTATAGTGGAATGGGGACGCGTACCGTTATTCAAACCTTTTATTTATTTTTTCTCTGCCCTTTTCCTTCTTCCTTTTTTTTTTTTATTTCTTGTTCAATGAGGATAAGCGGCCAACCTGTCAAACAAGGCCGACAACATACCATGCCATGGCGAACCGGAGGATTTAAATATTCCTTTGAGCGATAATCGTTTACGTAATGCATAATTTTTCCCATTTATAATTCTATGTTACGTTAAGAAAAATTACATCATGCAACATGAGACTTTCAAAGGTCACAACATTACTCATATATATTTAATTTCTTATTAATTTTTACAGTAAGCTTTGAGTATGCATGTAATAAGATTCATAATAAACTCATCTTTCTTATTTTTTTCCTATTACTTAAAAAATTGCTATCCCCAATCATTTTAATTGAAATTAATAATATAGTACAATCTTCTCCCCCGCTCAGTGTTGCCATGTAAACATTCCTCGAAAGAGGTGACCTTTGATCTATGAAAGAAGAATAGAAACTTGAGTTAACAACATCCGTAACTCTCACTTTCTTCGGGAGTGCGTGCAGCGAGACATCACCCCGCTGTCGCTTAACCGTCGGAAATGGGCGGTTGCGGCTCCCCTGCGCCGTGGTTAGCTCTTAGCCAAATCGTTTCATATCTATGAAAGGTTTCAATCATGCCGTTCTGTCTTTCGACCGCATCCCTTTGCTTTTATTCTCTATCCATTGCCTAAACTGACTTTTAGAGTTTATTTGCAGGCTACTTTCATAAATGTGAAAACTAAATCATATATTGTATATAAAGGAGTTACGGTTTAAATCTTCTAGTTATTTTCACACACTGTAGGTACAGACAGAGGCCCGAGGCCAAATCATGGATGAGGCCCCTTCGTCTTTTAAGGTAAAAGTTAAATATTACCACAATGTTTTAGTCTCAATTCAGTGATCACCACGATAATAAGGGTGGATATCAAGGGATTTATTCTGGGTACAATTTTCCAAATCAATTAAGTGAGGCTATTGACTACGAATTAACTGTAACTGAGTCTATTGTTCCAGTACGTTGTTTTCCAAATTTCTAAAGTTAGCCTTGCGTTATGTTATGATGCAACGAAAACTCAATAAAAAAAGTATTAAAAAAATATCGAACTTGGAGAATCAAGGGACGCACAGTGGTCTAAAATGGCATAAAACGGCAAAAACCCTTGGAAACTTTCAATTTAAGAATGATATTTGAAAAACAGAATTTATTATAGCATGTCCGGCCTTCTGAATTAATATAGACTAAAACTATTTGGTATGACCAACCGATATTATTGTTGTTAATTTTTTTTTCAATAATAAATGAAATATTTTTTGCATGTAATATGTTATAAAAATGAAAATTTGTTTTATAATGTCGTTGACCGAATCAATTATAAATGGCCTGTATTACTATCAAGAGGACATAGTGATAAGAGAAGAAGAGCAAGTCAACCTATGAAGATAAAACCAAATACATGGCAGTGAGCTTGAAACAATACTCCAGTATCAACTATGAGTCACCAATCACCTAGCCAGTGTCACCCTACCAGTTGTCAAGCCTCTAAATGATACTCTGTTTGCTGGAAGTCATTGGGTTTTCCAGCAGGATTCCGCTCCAGCTCACAAGGCCAGTCAACTCAGCAGTGGCTGCAAAAGAACATTCCAGAGTTCATCTCTGCCTCGGATTGGCCCTCAGGAAGCCCTGATCTCAACCCACTCCAGTATCAACTATGAGTCAGCTCGAGATGGACAGCCACTCAGCGCATATTAACCTATATGGACTTACTTTAATGTTTGCACATTCTCACTGTATGGACTAAGTTCTTTGATATTTTTTGTTCTCTCAAAATATTATTAAAGTTCGGCAATGTCACTATCAAACCAGTAACATTTTGAAATTGCATATTGACTTGCTAAGAATAAAGTGAGCCTACCACAAGTTACTTTCACACAAGTTTCTCTACAATGTAATGTTATTGTCTCGTATTGGTGTTTTTTTTTTTAATTTCTGTATTCTTGCGCATGCGTTTCATTTTTTTTTTTTTTTTTAATCCTATATTCTTAGAGGTTGACTGATAATGTTCTGTTTGCCCCGGCAGAGGGATGTCCAGCGGAGGGGCGTGCGTGCGGTTCAAGCAGAACGCTTGGAAGAAGGACCTCTGCAGCAACTGCTACCGGCCCAAGGAGGAGCACCAGGAGCAACCCAAGCCGCCCCCTCCATCCCTCCCGCTCATCGACCCCTCCCAGGTAATACACTATTATAATATAGAATATAATAAAATATATCTAAGTGTGCTTATTAATTAGTTTTAGTCGGTCATAAAAACTATGACTATGACGGCGGATTTTTGTTTATATATAATAAATTAGGACATTTAAAGGAAGTTATAGCCGTAGTTAATGTCCCTAAGCATTGTCGCAAGAGAAAACGAAAATCATTCGATTTGATGTTCCTTCGTTCGTATGTGTTTCTCCCGTATATTTAGAACTTATTTATGGCCACTTTCAGAGGTGCGCAGGACGTAAATTTCGCCATCAATTTTTTTGGGTGTTTTGAATTGTAAATGAGGCGCGTTTTGTGGGGGTTAGAAATTTTGTAAAGAAACCTACTTTTGTGGACTTTCAATTTAAAGAAACTTTCGAACCAGAGAAAAACCACCAATCATTGTTTTAAGAAGAGGAGAATCAACAAATTTTTTTTGGAATGGGGGGAGGCACGCGTCATTAACTTTAGTGAGGGAAGGATTAGCATTTCTGATTAACTAGTTGGAGAAAAACTACATTTTCTTAAATTTTCTATAAAATTGTGCATTATTTTTTTTTTCCAAAATCCCTTTAATTTTCTTTTTGAGATTGTATAGAATGTAATGATTATATTTCTTCCTTTTTCAGTAGTGGCACTAAATTTTAAGGAGTTCTTCAGAGGTACCCTGAAGGGGGTTTCGTTGGCGTCAAATCAAATCAAAATTTTTGAGGGGGCATATTTTGACGGATTTTTGAAGTTAATTTCGAAATTTTTTCAATGACTTTTATTAAGGTTAGAGTAAGAATTAAAGAATCAATGTTAGGATTCGCCAATTCCTCACTATGTAGTTAAAGTGATCAAGACCGTTAGCACAACCCTTACACGAATTATTCATGTTCTTTTTATGTAATGTAGCATTAATAGTAGAAATATAACAATCAAATATAATTTAATAGGAATGTCTCAATTACGTTGTAGTAAGAATTGGAAGGTGCCTTATAGATACTTGAAATTACAATATCACTTGAATAAACACAAAAAGAGACTAGAAACCGAAAACATTTTTTTTCAGTACGTCGATTCATAATGAGGACCTAGTTTTATTTAGAAAAAAAAAACGAATAAATTTTAAAAAAATAACTATCAAGTTCCTTAGTATATTTGTGTATCAGAATTCACTCAAATATTTTGCGCAAAAGTATTTTTGGTCCCCGAGTAATATATACTCAAGTGCATTTAAATTCATATGGTTAGAAGTAGAATTTTTGTTTCTTCAATGTTCATATATTTTTAATTTTCTTCGTGAGAATATCAGATCTTACGAATTTTAATCTTCAATTGCTAAATTACTTAAGGTCTCGTACTAATTTGAATACTTTAGTTAGCTTTTTCCATTTTTTCAACCAACTATTGTTCCGGCATCTCTATGAATGTTAATTCACCATTCGTAAACAGCAGGGGTGCCCATCCTCCCCAAGGTCGATGGCGCAAGAAACTACTCCTGCTCCCCTTCCTACCAAGATATTTTATTGCTCATCTTTTCCTAAAAACAGAGCAAGAGTTAAGGTAGAATTAGAAAAATCGTAAATCATATACAATTACACTTGCTGCGGTATGTTCCATGTTTTCCACCTTTCCCCTTACCTCAAAAATTGATAACTGCGTCGAAATTTGCCCCCTCAAAAATTCAAAAACCCGTCAAAATACACCCCTCTCAAAATAAACCCCCTCCTGGGCACCTCTGGTAAACAGCAGTGCCGGTTTTCAGCAGAGCAATCCGCTCACAGGCCCGAGGGCGGCAACATGAAGAAGCCTCCCAGTCACTTATTTAGAAATTATAAAAAATTACAAAGTCCCTTAAAAAAACAACTAAATTTAAAAAATATTGAATGGATTACAATATACAACAACAGAATATGCAATGTCTTTAACATCTTATTTTCTGCGCCTTAATTACATTTTTTAATGCAGAAGGGAGTTATCATGACGCAATTGCCTGAGGGCGCCAAATTTCTACGACCGCCAGTGGTAAACAGCCCACTCCGCCAATGTACTTACCATGTATTAAGCACATTGAACTTATGCCAACTTTGCATCCTGTTCTCATCAAACTAAAAAAAAAAGTCTGTTAGTTTACCTTATCCCATTATGAGATTCAATAGAAAATAATTTATCCTTGCCACTAAAAACATGGCCATGAATTTCATAATTTGAACATTAGGGTATTGTTTGTCTTCTGTCCTCAGCGATGAATTTCTAAAAGTTAATTATTTTTATGTGGATTTACGATAATTAAGCTATATTCGGCCTAGAGCCCTTAGAGTGCGTTTAGGGATATACATGATATCGGATTTGCAGATGATATTGCTGTTTTTGGAACAACAGTAAACACACTAAAATATTTAAAAAGAGAGACGTAAGACATTACTGAAACTGCTAAAAGTAAAGCAGAGTAAATCGTTAGAATTCATTGCCTCGGGACCTTCTAATATAGAACTTTAATTTGAGTTCTACCAATGGGTAGTTTCTCTTCATGTTGTACATGTCATGTTACCAATGTCACATTTACTTGTTGTATTTTCTATGTAATGCAGTTGTAAATTTCATTAAAATTAAAAAAAAAAAAAATAATTCATATTTTCAATGACTGTACTCCTATCCGTATTAGGAACTGAAAAATAAAAACACATTGAAACGATACTTAATGTTTGAGATATTGGAACTCCAATTTGGAGTCATTGGTTATAATTTATTGTAATAATACATTATATATATATATATATATATATATATATATATATATATATATAATCATATGTGTGTATCATATATGTAAATCTAAAGAAATGCTGCAAGATCTCTATCCAACCTAGACCATTCTGAGTGAAGCGAAGCAATTATCTATATTTATACGGTTATGGCTGAAAATGTGTTATCCCATCATGGCCAAGACACACTTATGAGCTATTATTTTTATTTTTCGAAATTGTTTCATTTGATGGAACTTCTGCTGCCAACTCACGTAACTAATATTTTTTGTTGTTATTTTCCTGATTCATTGTTTGAGATGATAATTATTTCTGGTCGTAGCTCGATGAAATCCTAATAAATATGCAAAGCTGTCGCCAGGCTGTGACTGCTGATTGCACAGCGCCATTATGATCCAAATATATTTAGGTATCGCAATGGCGTGGTCTCATTAGTATCCAGATCGTCACGGTATTTATTTTTAATAAAAAAATGTGGCAATTTCCCGTTGCAAGGCGAGTGTAGATTTGATTAGGAGTGTACTTTCACAGTTGCACAAGCATAAACAGCGCGTGGTGTCATTCTTTGAAGAGCATTAGTTCCACCAAGAGCCTGTCGAGTATTGGTCAGTCTTCGATTGTACGCCCGAAAATAATACATTTGTAAATTCGGCTATATTATTAGATAAGCTGTTAATAGTTTGGATTTTCAATTCTAGTTCTGAATATGGTGAGTTGACTAGTTTTTGTAACTAATTAACCATGCTTTAAATGCATGTCTGCTCGAGTTACTTAATCATTATATTTGGTACAATATATACCATTTTCAACCATTTCGAATTTATTTATATATACTAAATTTCTGCCTGACTGCACCCCGCTGAATATACTTAAAAGATACGCCTCTTTCTCTTGTCCTGACAACACTTTAGAAATAGTCTATCATGAATTTATTTTGTCTTCTTGTTTCAACAAACATCCTGATAAAAAAAATTGTAGGTAATTTTTCTCTCATAGTAATTAATTTCATCCTCATCTAGTACAAAACCATTGTTTCAATTACTTTTTTCTTAGCTGTTCGTGTTGTAAACAAGATTACAATGTTTTCTTTTTTAAATGTTAAGCTTCTATTTGTATCTTTTATATTTATTTTATACTACTTATTAACTAACATGCTTATATTAATAGTGGGGAAATTCTATGAAAAACTAATTTTTGTTTCTTATTTATTATAGAGTATCCTGGCCAATCTGAAAAAGAAGAAAAAGCTGAAAAAGAAGTCGGTTAGATTCACAGAACAGGAAAGTGAAGTGATCGGATATGGAGGAGCAGATTCCAGTTCAGAAGAGGACGATTATGAATGGGTGGAAACGAAAGAGGAAGAGAGAGAAGTGATTGGAGAAGAAGAAAAGGCACTGGAAAGGTTAACCAAGACCAATACTGATTATAATTCATTGTTGGGTAATCTGAACAGCAACACTGGAGTATTGCCACTTGGAAAACAACAAAAACAAACATTACAGGTGACGATACAACCGTTTGGCATGTCCGATAACAACAAGAAGACGAATCTGAATAAACTAGTCCAAGAGGAGACACCAGTAATTACCTCCATTCCAGAAATCAAGGAGATAAAGCCTTTAGAAAAGAAAGTAGAAGAAGAAAAAGTAAAAGAAGAGCAACCAATGCCACTCATGAAGACAATTATCATAGAAAATAAAGCTCCAGTAAAGGAGGAAACAAGAGGAACTCCAGAAGGTAGGAAAACCCAGATCACCAGGGGTAGCATGATAACTAAAAATCATGAACAGGTGAAAAACAAACTGTACATACAAAATGTTATTCAGACGAAAATTGAAAACAGGAGGAGTATCACGCAGCTCAAAGATGACAATGACAATAAGACTGAGACGGAGATCAACAAGATCATAATCAACACCGGATCGAGCGTGGAAGAGAAGAACGCCCGGAACGCGACTGAAGGAGAAGTGACGGTGAAGGTGCTGAAGCTGGTCGGCAACGGTTTGGCCGAGAGCAGGGAAATGGCGGGGGAGCCCGACGGCAGGGCAGACTCCGACGAGCCGGAGACCCCCCTCACCCCGCCCCCGCGGGCCTCCTTCCTCCACCGCGAGGCGCAGCTCGCCCTCAGTCAGGTAACTTATGTCTCCAGTCGTTTCAACTTACAATTAGGCCTCTTCATTGAGATATAGGCCGATTTATTATTATTAAGGCAATTATAATGGTATAGAAACATGAAGTAAACTATGTAAAATCTCTTTCAAAAACATATTCGATATACAATTTAAAATAGGTACTTCTTAATAACAATTTGTATGAATAACTTTACTGTTATTAAGTTTGTTTAGAAGAGGGTTTGAAAAATTTTCCCGTTGAAGAAAAGGGTCGGAGGAAGGGGAGGACAAAAAAATTCTTGTATGTGGCACAGCCAACCTTAGCTACACCACTGGTCAAGGTCTACTTAGCCCAGATATTGTAAGGGTGATATAAGTAGGATGCCTTCGATGAGCATAACATGTAATTAGAATTACCCCGGATCAGATTCCTAGGATGGTCCTAGATGGAAGAATATATGGAACTAGAAGTTCGGGAAGATCTTGGCTGTTGGCTGTAACCAATAGAGGATATTTGTGGACTAAGCTGCAAGAGGCGCTGACTTTGCAGAATTGTAGGGCCTCGGATGATTATGCCTGTACAAGGTCCATGTTTCTGTTCACACAAATAAAAACTTTCTTCCATAGAAACACCGCTGAATGCGTATCGTTTATTTAGGAAAATGAGGTCGTTCACCAAAACCTATATTAAGCAGCTTCGGTCAATTTTCTTTTACTCTAACTAGCGAAGGAATGCTGAGTCATCCAACCATGATTAATCTTCACAGCCCGAATTCGAACTAGTCCGTTTCTACCCTAAGCGTGATGGTGTGCAATTGTGACCCCATACCCAAAACCCGAGCACCTACCATGTGATTAATATTTATAGGTGCACATAAATACTTGCGTGTGTTCACAAAAGGGAGATATTTTATGCGATTTAAAACTTTAATAAAATCCTGTTTACCGGACCCCAGTATGATGGATTCGGTGACCCCCTCCTATCTATGTGGGGACTCAACTATTTATGTTTTATTCAAGTAATTTAATATCAATTAAAAAGTCCTCCACGCTAAAGCAGACCCTGATAATACTAAACGTCCACACTCAGCGTTTTAACTAAAGGTTCACGAATCAAACTCAAGTTCGAAATCTTAATAAAAAAAAAGATATATAATATAAATAGTAGAAAATTCATCTGCATACATCATGCAGAAAAATTTTAAAGTTGATGATCGGTTTCACTTCACCGACGTTACAGTTATACCATAGAATGCCTTCCTATCACCCTCAGAATATGTTTTCTCGTAACTGCGTTTCTCACGACGTTTCTATTTAGCTTCATACCCTAAAGTTTTATTGATTAAGATTCAGATATTTTTTCATATAGGTGATTTGAATATTTGTTTTGTTCGACTAGGGTATCTTATAAGTTATAAATCAAATCGTGAAGAAAAAAACAATTTTCTTTACTTCCTCAACCTCAGAAAGAAATATTTTTCTTACCCCACTGTTTAGGTTTTTTGTTGAAAGTACCGAAGCAACAGACTATTTGAGGGATAAAATGTCGTGAGATTTATATTTTGTCATATTTCTAAATGAACTTGTTCTCCTTCCCAACCTTCTAAATGATGTGGTTTTGTAATTGAAGCCTGTTGCATCATTTCCCTCCTGTTTACATTAATCATCTGAATACACAGAACTCATCATCTGCTGAGTAATCTGCTACGTTCTCCCATCGCCGAATGCTCCGCCATTCCCTGTTGTGCTCTAGGTGCAGTGTTTCCTTATTTGAGGATTATTAGTCTATCCTGATAAGCTTTAAAGACCTCTCGTGTAGGACCTAGTTCAGTGCTTATTATCTCTGGAAGGTAAAATATTTATCTTTATTTTGGTTCATATCACCTTTCTTCCAATAACACTTGAGATATATCCGATCAACTGCTTTCATTGGAAGAATTGGTATTGCTGAGTACCGACTTAACCTTTTCTTTATCACCGAGTAGGGTCTGCCAGCCATCTCCTTTCGGTAGAACATTCCTACAATTTACATGAATTGTCCTATATACTACGTGTATTACCAGAAGTCCTACATTAGTTAGAAGTGCGTTATATATTTCAAAGTATTTGTATCTAGTCCAGATTCCATATTACGCGGTTCCGATAATTTAGTTTCCAGCAGGAACTAATTGCGCATCTATGAATAGAGACCCTCTAATACGTCTTGAATTTTAACTGCGTTTATAACCTACAAATGTGCAGTCTTGCCTTCTAAAATATCTTTAAAAATTATAGGCAGCGGTAGGTCATAGGTTATAAAAAAGTAAATAAAAAATAATAGCATGGCCATTATCGATTTGCATTTGTACTTAAAGAAGTTTAACAGCATATTTCGTCTAGAATTGAACATTTATTTGGAAATATAGTATTAGCAAATAAAGTATAATACAAAATCACTATTATAAAAAAGAATATTTTTTTAGAATTTTATGAAGTATCAATATTATATGTCAATAGAAAATTAAATGTTTACTAAGATTTATTAATGAAGAATTATCGAATTGATAATGAACATGAATTTTCAAAAATACTTTATGATGTTTTTTGAAAATAAAAAAAGTGACATGCTCTTTCAAATGTGCCATATGTCACCAAACATATATTTGGAAACTATTCAGATTAATTTTTTAACACACTAATAATTAGTTTTGAATTCATTAATTGTGTTAAGAACATAATTTGGTATAGTTTATATATAGTATAGTATAACTCAAGTTATTAGAAATTATACCCAGTTTATTAATTTTATTGTCATTTGTATAACATTTTTCATTATGAAAGACTTTATACATTAAAATTAATTGTTTACAAAAAAAAATTGTCTTAGTCACCATCTTCCCATTCAGTATTGCCCTATTTTGGAAAAAAAAACCTGGTAATCCTGACTCCCAAGCCTTCTGATAAAAAACAAAAAAATGTTTTCAATAAGTTTTTAGATTATCAAATCCATGTTATTTCATTTATACATAACAAAGTATTCAAACCAAGAATAATAATCCCTTAACCACTTTCAGTGAAGGAAAAAGTTATAACCCCATTTGTTTATATGATTGAATGATATAGCTGAAATAATTGCATATGCATAGAAGAGAATATTTGATTTTACAATTGTCAGAATTAGAATTAATGAGTATTACTTTTTAATATTTTAAATTAAATAAAAGGGGAAAAAATAGGGCTGTTCTGAGAAACATGTTAAATGATTTCTATTTCCAAGGTGTGATGTATACACAAATATATATGTGTGTAATATATATATGCTGTATACAAAATTCCAGCAGTTATATTTAGTGAATAAATAAAACTATTGATTTTTTTTTTTATATTTTAGTTGTTACCGTTATTATTATTTTTTTAGTTGATGAATAAAACTGTTTGAGTATATTATTATAATTAAATTTAATTATATCATGAAAGGCTTAGTTAGAAAACTTAACTATAGGTTTATTTACAGATAACTGTGCCTCCAAGTGAGCCAACACCAACACCAACACCCCCACCTCCACCACAAGCCCCAACACCTCCTATGACAACACCCACTCCTCCCCCCCTGCCCACCACTCCACCGCCAACACCTCCTCCCCCTAGTCCACCAGCATCACCCCCTGCCAGGTCCAAGCGCCCAGCTCCTAAGCCTCCAGCACCAGAAACAAGGCGAAGGGGTTCCCTCACCGACTCTGGAGAAAAAAAAAAGACCAGGGTAAGGCACACTCTGAGGAAGCTGTTGAGGTTTGGAAGTCGAGAAGAGGAACCAAAGACACCTGAAGATGAAGGACCTCCAAGACCTCGACCTCAAATCATACATCCCTTAGACCTCAACAAATCAGCTGTTGAAGTCTTACCTCCAGCTTCGGTTAGTTTTAAATTTAATAAAAAAAATTTCAATAATGCTTTGTGAATATGTTATATCAACACTAATTGTAAGTGGAGTAATACAATATTTTTTAATAATCATTATTCACAAACAATATTTGAAGTACAGTTAAATGAAAATATTAATAGATAACTTCACAGATGTAAGTAACAATTTATAAAAATGTTCAAAATCATTGAGAAATTACAAATCTAGGCTTACACAACTGTTTTGAATGAACAAACACATATACAAATAAACTTTTGTGCAAATAATCAAAGAGTAGTAATACTAAAGGAATTACAGGATGCTGCCAAATCTTGAATATTTTCTGCTTCAAACATTCAAATTCGCTCTTACATATGAGGGGTTGACCATTGATGTATAACTTTTGCTGATAATAAAATATTGTTATGCATAGATTTAACCATAAATTGAGTTATATATTTTTCAATCTGTATTCTTATAATTCTATAGACATAGTTGCAAAAAATATGATGTTTTTTTAATAAACTTGTTGAAATTTACAGCCTGAAAAAAATCCCCCTGAGATCTACAATTCAACTGCTTCCCTAACTACTTATTCTGTTGGTAAGTTAAATAAGTCAAAGTCTGTAAATCCTAATAATAATTAATATTTAAATTAATAATTTCTCTGTTATTTTTGGGGATGAGGAGGAGAGGAACCTTGATTAAAAAAATATTAGACTTGTATTATTCATCAAACAAATTTCCTGTTCATACTCCATTGAAATGTCAGATTTTTCATTACCCTCTAAGAAGTTAGACCGGTATTGATTAGGGAAGAGGATTGATGTAACAGATTAAAGCTGAGTGCAAACAAATAAAATGCAAAATCAATTAAATTTGATCTTGTCATTGAGCATTCATATTTATATGATGCTGAACCATAGAATTAATCTTCATATTCTCCTTACATATATGATTTTAATGGTATTACTACTCTGAAGTACTAGATATTTCATGAAATTGTCCTAGCTAGACAAAAACTTTTTTTTTTTAATGACATTTTTCAAAATATATCTTTGTTATCCTCATCTAATGATATGAAGATAAGGAGGTTAAAATAGGCAGGGAGTGTAGCTCTGAGTAATCCATAACATAATCCATAACTTCTGCTCAACAATGAATACCTCAATAATAGGCCACATGGATGGCCAAAAACCAGATGGCTACATTGAATCAACTAAAATGCTGCAAAGCAGTATGCAAATAACTGGGAAGAAATAGTCCGAGATAGGTATAGGTGGAGAAAGCTGATTGAGGCAGCAAAAGATGTAAAGGCAACAGAAAAAAAAATTGTGGATCCACAGTATTTGAATCTGTCTATTCTTGGGAGCATTTTTCCTTCAACGCAGAACCTGTTGTTGGAATGGATTTTTCAGCTTATATTTTATAGCACATATTTTGTTTTATATTCATTTACTTATTAGCCGATATGCACCTATTTTCTTATCAAGTCTCTCGATATCTTCTTGATTGCTTTTGAGGAAAGTTGTATCATCTGTGTATTCCAGGAATTTATAATTTATTTTTATGTTACTTCCCATCATTTTTCATGAACCTATTTTAGGATGAAGATCTGGTCTAGTTTGATCCTTCCTTTTCTAAATCCTACTTGCTGATTGCATATTATATATTCATAGTACAAATACATAGAATTACACAGAATATATATATATATATATATATATATATATATATATATATATTTTTTTTTTTTTTTTTTTTTTGTTCTTTTTGGCTTTAAGACTTGTAAAAGCAAGTCCTATTTTGCCAATAAAATATTTTAATTGTTATTGTAAGATGAAATTACACTGGATATTTATTGAATATTTCTAGATAGATGATCACTGAATGTAACTAAATATTGAATAGAACTTAAACTAGAAAGACTAATAGTTAAAAACTGAGGTGATAGTAGTTTCATAACAATTAAATGAGAATGAGTGGCAACTTTTATTATATAACTGCTTTTATGTCATTGAATAAAGTCATAGGCGTTATCTTTGTTCATCAACCGAAGAAAGTTAGCGCCATCACCCATAGTTTGCGATCCTAAATTAATTCTTCTTCGCTTCTCGAATCTTTCGCACTTGAAGGTAATGTGTCTTGGATCCTCCAAGCATTGGCATGTTGAAGATTGACAGCTCTTAGCAGTCACTTAATATTAATAGCTTAACAGAATATTGATCATTATCTTTTAGGCAACTGGATGGAGTGCTATTCCTTTGTAATTAACTTACTCATATATGGAGCCTTTCTTTCAGATAGGAGAGATTGGCTCTTGTTCCTAGCCTTTATTGTCTATATATTATAGTCTATTCCTCATCCCATATTTTTTGAATGAGTTGTAATACCTTGGGTCTTTGACATTCGTCTCCCATCATATTCATATATACATGTTACAAAAAATGGTTTATAATTATTTAGTCGATAAAACCTTAAAATCGATAAAAACCTTAAAAATGACTGCGTCCTGACTATTTATCACCTATGATACGTAGAACAGTTGACTAACTTCCTTCATATAATTATTTCGCCATTAGTTAAATTACCTAATTTGAATTAGGTAAACATAGTTGCATGGTGTACAAAATATTTTCATCTTTTTTAAAACTTCAATTTATATATATATATATATATATATATATATATATATATATATCATAATATCTGGTTGGCGGGCAACTCGTGGTGCTGTGCCCACACGTTAGCCCGTACGGCCACCCTGGCCCCCATACTTCAAGTGCAATATCATGTATTTTTATTTCTTTACTTGTTCACTATTGTATAATCATGTACTCTTTGTTCCAGGGCGTCCTAGCAAACCACCCCCACCGCCCAGAAGTGAATCGCTCAACTTAATGGAGAGGTTGAGGCCATCACCGAACTCTGAAAATAATGTTTATGCAAACCTTGGTATGATTTTCTTTCTCTAGGTTGATTGTAAATATTGTACATATTTAATAATTCAGATTTCAATACTTTTTATTCAAATAATATTATATTATAATTTAATAACTATTTATCATCTCTTATCTTGATAACTTATTGTTTTTTAAGTGATTGAAATTTTTCATTTCAAGTATTATTATCATTGTATCACTCAATTTATTCTCAATAATTCACTCAGCTCAGTGAGCTGTCACTCTTAATTTTACAAAAGTAGTTCTTTGAATAAGTTGAGGAGTATAAAAAATATACAGGCAGCTTATCTTGAAGAAACAGTACAAAGAACTTTGTGTATTTTTTTTTTATTTATGTTTTTAAATTCATAGAGAATCAAATCTCCTTTATCTCATAAGAATGTATTATTAATAAAAAAAAAAAAAAAAATAGAATTTCCAGAAGACCAATGAATAGAAGTTTTTACTGATGGGTCATCAATCTTCAACAGCAGAGAAATAGGAGTTGGATACTATTGTTGACTATTTCAAGGATGTTTAAGTGTAGGTGCCTCCGTTAGCAACTATGATGGAGATGTTGAAGCAGTGTACGCTGATGTAAGAGAATCGGAAAAGACTGCTTTTCCTTGAATCCTGCTTTTTTGGTTGATTATTTACAACTGTGTAACACAAACTCTGCCAGAGGATGGTCTAGTGGAGAATAAAACTGGAAAGCCTGGAATATTGCAGATGGACACTGATGTTCTAGCAGATATCCTGTCATGTCAACGATGAAGCCAACAAATCAATCACGTTTGGAACAACGTGCCCCATCTTAGCCCCAAGTCGATGCATCCATCCAAGTTACTAATCAATGCAGCAGTAAGTGGATAAAACAGACAGTGTCACTCCAAGATAGCTGCTGGTAGGAAGTGGGAAACTTGGTCACTAACAGTTCCATCAACCACAGCCTCCTGAATGAAGTCAGCAGAGCAGCATGCTGACTAAAAATTGGTCATGATTTTCTCGCTTTACACCTCCGAATCCATGTGCTGCCATCTCCTGAGTAGAGTGTCCAACATGTGATTATAGGATGATGAGGGTACACTGAAGATCTTTATTGGTCTGTGTTTTACCTTATTACTCAACAGCCAAAGATGGATGTTGGCTCGCAGCAGCATTATTAAAAACATTATAGGTGGAGTAGTTACATATCTTATCCCTACACTTGGTCCAGCTCCGCATTATTATAAGCTATTTTCTCTTTTTATAAAAATCTTTCTATAGAAAGTTTTACCCCGCTTCTACCTTGTATACAGTTTAATTACCTTAACTCATTTTTTTATTTTTTAACTTAAGTTTTTTTTTCCTTTATTTTCTAGCTGTCTGTTATTCTTTTACTAGTTCATCATTAAATTTTATTCTGAGGCTTACTTCAAAAATTTTGTTATAAAAAAAATAAATTGTAATCGTTTACAGTAATTTTATTATATTTTAATCTTAGAACAAATAATAATGATTCAATAATGACAGTAACTAGTTCTCTGTAACCCCAAAATCATTATTTAAAATTTATTAGCTTTATTTGTGGAAAGGTCTGTTGGAAAAAATATAAAAATCGTCAGTTAGGCAAGAAAACCGGTAAATATAACCATATAAATATAATATAAATATAAATATAACCGGTAATATAAAAATATAACCGGTTTTAACTCTGAAAATAATAAAAATGATCATAAGATTTTTTTTTAATCCAAGCATAATCATTCCCTAACTTTTTGAAAAGTTCCATTTTAACAGTGTCTGTGAAACTTTTTTAGGAAAAAGTTCCATTTAACACTTTGTGTGAAATCTTTTTAAGAAAAACAGGTCTTAAAATAAAGGCTCTAATTAACTTTTTTGTAATAAAGTTCCAGATTTATAATAAAAGTTTTTCAATTTGTATTTATTCAAGTTCTTAAAAAAGTTTCGTTAAATGGAAAATAAAAAATAATCAGTGGGCTTAGATTAGAGTATAATCTGTCGTTTGTTTGAGTATCTATGAATAAAAGTAATTTTTTAGACAGAGTTTTTAATAAAAATTGTTAAAAAATAAAAGCTCTGTAAAACCTTTACTTGAAAAGTTGCAAGGAATTCTACTTCCAAAAGAACTGAAAAATTATCGACAATAAAAATTCTGATGCCAAAACTTTTTAAAAATCTTTTTTTTTTCTGTTTCAATCTCTGCTTTATATGAATGCAATTGAATTCCAAAAATGTATACAATTTTGAGAAATAAAAAATCTATAGATTTAAATATTATGATTGTTGACAGGAGAAGGTAGATGTGGTATCACGCCGGTTAAACCCCAACGGACTGGCAGCATGAGGGATACCAATTCAACAACCACCAAAGATAATATTACAAAAGAATCTTCCAAACAGTGTACAATTCAAAATGATAGTGATAATGTATATGAGTGTGTGGGTGTCAGCTCAGCCCCAGAATGTGATATGAGTCTTCCAACCTATTATGGTTCTGAAACTGAATCAGACATATATTATCCGTATATTACATTCCAGGTAAGATAGTGTTACCATTTTAAAAATTTCATATTTTATATTTTTCTTTATGGAATTGAAATATCTCGAAGTCAGTTGGATCAAATGAATTTAACTAACATGTATTTTACTACTGGAAATTTAATAATTTTATACTAAACACACTTTAGATTTTATTTAAGTATGTTTTTTTTTTTTGTATTAGAATGGGGAATGTAAAACCAAAATGAAAAGAAAAGAGAGAGGTATAGTTCATTCAACGCTCGAAGAAAACTATGGTGCTGTAATAATAGCTAACCATGATGCATTGACTAACCTATTCCATCAGGTAGGTTTTTAAGTTCACTTCAATTGCACAATAACTTATTCAGATTATATTAATGTTTTCTTACATAAAATTGAATTATTTAATAAAAAAAAAGTCTTTCGAGGAAATGCAGGTATAAATAGGCCCTCTTGTTAATAAATATTAATCTTTAATGTAGTTATATATCAGTAATTATCTAAGAATGAATAAATCTTACAATACTTCAAAATAAATCAAACGTATAAAAAGAATAAAAATTCTATTTCTAGATATAGAAATTTAAAAAAAAAAACTGTTTCTTTGAAGAACCCTGTCCAGTAAGTATTTGTACATTGTAATAACTTAAAATTAAAATGGTAATTGAATTTAGTATGGAGGATAAAAAGGGAATGATCAGTGTAGAAACTAAGCAAATAGTGTAACAACTATGTCTATTCTCATTTATAAATAATATAAATCATGTTTGTTGGAACCTCTTGCATAGTTTTTACTAATTTTATTTATTTGATTTAATAAATTAAGACCATAACTACTTTCTGTCAAGAAGTAGCTTTTGCTACCTTCATTCAAATCTACCTAACTAGCTAGAACTTTCAATCCAATCTAGTTAAGAAAATAAACCTGAGAAAACTGGAAAGGTATCATGTTAGGCATATTTACGCATCATAATATGGTCCACTCTCCCCACTCTGTCATTCTCGACCATATCCTTCTGACACACTGTTATTTCAAGTTATTGGCAATTGGTTCAGTATTATGTTTTTTCTTTATATCTTAAATTCTTTTGTATTTACCATAATTTATTTGTTATGGAAATTCTCAGTTATTTGTTTATAGCATATTAAATTTTAATTTGTCATAATGTTCTAGATAATGAGTAAAAAACCAGATTTGCCTAAGGATATGCAGGGAATAGAATGGAAATGGAATTCTTTCGATGTGGATGAGGAAGAGGTCCAAAAAATAGGAAATTTGACATTCATCAATGCAAGGATTAAAGAAATACCACTTACTCTATCGGTAACTTCAATAGAATCCAGTATTCCTGACATTATGGAGCCTCTGACTCAATTCAAATGCACTGTTCCAATAAAATGTTTGCAAAATGGCAATAATGGTAAGTAGTATTTTATTTGAGGTGTGATAGAATATTTTATCTAGTTTGATGAGATTCCAAGAATAGTATTCTAGTATATATTTAAGTCTAATATATTTCCATATAATTCTAATATCTTATTATGTATTTAATTTCATAACAATATTAAAAATTGTTATGAAAAGTCAATGAATTTCATTTTATATTTATTTATTTTCAGTTTTCTAGTTATTATGTTTTAATCGACTTTATATATAATATATTCTATATAAAAAATAAATATAATTAATAAATTTAAGTTTATTAATTAATCATAATTGATAAGACTTCAGAATACATAGAAAATAAAAATAAATATTACTTATAAATGAAGTATTATTTAAAAGTAACTTAAATTGTTATAATTTCTTTTGAGTATAATATTTTAACATTTTTACAATAATTTAGTTCTCATTTTTTCTACTTTATTTTCTGTCATGTTAATTCTAATAAAATATTAACTATTAATCTATATTTTTGAATATTCTAGCATTCATTACTGTAATGCGAAGAAAAAAGATTGAGCGCCTGTTGTCATTTGCAAAGAAATTAGAAAGAAGTGCTGAAAGTGTGAGAGAAGGTGTTTACATTTTATTACAAGTTGTTAAATACTTATCAGTTTCAAAAGGGAAAGTTAACGTTGAAAACTTCATAGTTTTCACATCGGAAAATTCTCCATCAGCCGCATATTTACCTGCTGAGGTAATTATTTTAATAAATTATTTTTTTTAAAAACAGAAATTCATTTGGAATGGTTTTAATGATTTTATATAGTAATAAACTTTTAAACTTTACACTTACTTTTTTTACTATACGATTTATTAATTTAACAATTAATGGTTAACTCTTGTAAAATAATTATTTCTGCATAGAGTTCATAAACATTATATTTTAAAGTATTATAGTGCTCATAAGTTAATATACAAAGTGTCCCGTGAGTAGAGAGAAATTTTTATAGGAATAATAGCAGACCCTCAAGAGTTACAAAAAGTTTATATAAACATCGCACCAATTTTCTACAGGAAAATAGGAAATCCATGTTTTGTGAATTTTTAGGAAAGTCGTGTTTTTCGTTGAATAGGAATTGATAACTAAAGAAATATTTAATTTAAGTAATTAATAATTGCTTCACTGTAAACTAGACAAAATTTAAGTCAAATAGATATAAAGTTTGTCATTACTAAGATCATTTAAAGAGGACTTTTGAGCAGCTAAACTAAGCTAAGTTCTGTTTGTGTTCGTGCTACACAGCTAAAAGTGACTAACACTAAAAGTTAGGTATGTGTGGTATAGTGGGGTGATGATAAAAAAATAAAAACTTCATGAATAATTTTATGATTTTTGTAAAAAAAGAACTTAGCTTAGGTTAGCTAGTCGAAAGTCCTCTTTAAATGGTTTTTAATATATCTATATATACTAATGTTTTTGATATGTATATTAATATTTAATTGATATAAATTATAATGATTATAAATATTAATATTTAATTGATATATTAATATATCAATGACAAACTTTATTTTTATTTGACGTAAATTTTGTCTAGTTTACAGCAAAGCAATTATTAATTACTGATATTAAATATTTCTTTAGTCATCGATTCCTACTCAACAAGAAACACGACTTACCTAAAAATACTTAATATTTTGATTTCCTACTTTTCTGCAGAAAATAAGGCCATCATTTATATGAATTTTTTTGTAGCTCTTGAGGTATACTATCACTCCTATAAAAATTTCCCCCTACTTACAGAACACCCTGAAGACTAATATAATTAATAAAGGAACAGCAAGGAAATGAATCCAAATATAGACAAAAGCTATTAAAATTAAAACATAAATGAGTGAAATAATAAAAATTATTTTATAAATTAATTATTTCTGATCATGGTTCAAAAGAACATTTCTTGTGTCACCAAACAGTTCGAATTATATACCTATAAAATAATAACTAGAAATAGAAGGTGAAAAAATCATTCTTCAAATATGCATTTTTTTCTCTTAGCTCTGGAGCGAGGACCTAAAAAGTGTGAAGGTTTTTTAGTTAGTTAGTTTGTTATTACCCGCATAGTGAAGGTTTGAATATAACGCAGACGAAGGTTTGAATGTATATTATAAAAGTGGATGTTATAAGTAAAATGAACGTTGTCTGCCATTCCAGAGCCGCTGCTTTCGAAAATGGCGACTAATTTAAAGAATATTAGTTCAGTAACTTTAGGATTGAAATGGGAACGTATTGTGGGAAATTTTTTTATTTTTTTAACTTGTGTAACTTTTTCCAGCCCAAAAAAGCCACATTTTTTCTATCCTTTTTTTTCACCTATAACTCTTAAACGAAGCAGTGAAGCAAAAAATGAACTCTTTAAGAAATTAAATTGTGCGTTGAACAAGTACGTACACTTAATAATTTGGTTAAATGGTATGGTAGAAAAGCATAGCATGCTGATTTTTACCAAATTTGCCAAAAGCAGGCAAATTACTGTAAATGGCTCTGCAGTTTGGAAATGAGTTCTACAAAACTCATAGAATCTAAGTTCTAGAGCATCAAATTCTGTGTCCACTGGGTACTAACATTTTTAATGTAGATCAATTACATCTCTCGAATCAGGACTCGTTATTTCTTCTTGAAATTTGGTTCTTATTCCATGGTTTTCAACATATGAGTTTTTTGTGAATCCAATCTCTAGTGGCAAAACCAAGAAATTTAATGGCTACTTACTACTACTACTAACACTACTACTTATTACTTTCTCTTCAGAATTTTATATATTTTTTTCCGGAGCTATGGAATAAATATGTTTTTTTGTTTCTATACTTCTTATTTCCATTATATATAATTCATACAATCACCAATCCTGATGATGCTTTCTGTACTATGTGGGTGGGGGATGGAGTGGGGGTTTTAAATTATTTGGATGGTGTAAGTAGATTAACTTCATTTTGAGGTTTTCTTAGATTTGTTATGATAATTCATAGTCCAACTTTGTGTGGAGATTCAATAGAATTTCATATGAGGTTTTATTAAAGATAATTATGAAATACAAGTGTCTAAATCTTATTTTAACATTATTTTAAAAGTTTAGAATGACAGTTTATGAGATTTATAAGAATTTGAAAAACAATTGGCAATCTATTGTGGTTGTGATTTAGTTCAATTTAATTCTCAACAGTTTAGCCCTTCCAAATTGTATTCCCCCACTTATGCCAGAAGTGTTGAAGATAATTACGCTGTGTTCTTTCTTATGACATCTTCATGATCCTTATCACTCAACTTGATTTTAGCTATCATAATTTTTTTATTTTAAAGGTTTCATCATATTTGGAGTGATGTGATCTGTTACTAGAAATAAGTAAAAAAAAAATTAGTATTCTCATGCTTTGCTTTGATAGCAGCAAAACAAAAATAAAAATTTTTATGATGACGATGAAATTGTCCCTGTTTATGAAATAGATACTGGGTACATGTTGATACTTACACACTGCTTTCCAGTTGCTAACTAGAAAAAGTGAGGAAATACCATTCTGCTACGAATAAGTTTTCCTTTTTTCTTAGTTGTACTAATATTTAAGATAAGCAGTGATTTGATTAATAACTATTCCATTTTTAAGCACATTGCTGCTCAACTGTTTAAAATTACCTTTCTAATTCAAATATAAACAACTTTAGTTTCTTTTGTCTCTGAAGGAAAGCGAAACGATTTGTGCTGAAGACTGCCTCCGTGAGATGTGTAAACAACTACTTGGACCTCTACCTCTTGGAAGGGTGCTGGAGAAGTGTAACATTTCAGAAGCTGAGGGGGTGCTCGAGGTCTGGTTGTGGGGGCCAGCGTCTCCGCTTGCACTGCCTTCGCTCGCTCGATGGCTTGACTTGGAGCGGGCCAACTTCCTCAATGCACTCGTAAGCAATAGGAATGCTGTTGTCGATAAGGAGCAACTTGCATTCCTTGTCCGTGCTTCTCCAAAATCGATAGCTCATTCTTCTCAGATAATTGAGCACAATGCATCATGAAACATTCCTTTATTTAGAGACTTGCAATAATTTAAAATAAAAACTTCTTCAAATACTCATTATGAGACATAATTGAACTTAATCCTTTCATATGTTTATATTTTGTTGACTGTTTTTATTATTAGATTTCATAAAGAAAACAAATGAATATTTATAAATAATGTTTTCTTGATAATTTAGAATGTAAGCTAGTGCCATTGTTGCTTATGAAATAAGACTTCAATGATTTTGTCATTTTGAAATTCTAGTAAGCAAAATGTCCCTTTAACAATTGCATTGCGTGCTCATAAGAACTATAAATCTCAAAACAGACATATATTTATTTAGATATTGTACTTATAATAATCATGATATTATTTAGTTATTAGATTACTTTTATATGTGAATATTTAAGAATAAATTTGTTGATTTTTAAAGTTTCTTTTGTATTACTTTTTTCTAGTCACACTATAACTTTCTAGAGTTACAAAACCATAAAGACCAGTGGCTGCCACCATATATTGGTTAGGTACTTTGAATAAAAATCTTAGAGATAAGTTAATTCGTTAATTTTTAATGAATAAATAAAATAATTTTTGAGAAAGGAGAGAGAGAAAACAGACTTGTTTAGAAGATTGTTTAAGAAAGAAAAGACAGCTTGAAAGAATCAAATTTCACATTAATATAAAATTTGGTCCAGAAAAAGAAGATATCACAGGACTGATGCATTAAAATAAAAACGACGTGAAAAATTGCAGGATTTTTCATTCAGATATTTTGGAAAGGAACTAACCAAAAAATAAATTCAGTTTAGCTTCTTAAATAAATTTTAAAAAGTAATTTAAGATAAAATTTAATTTAATCCAGTCCATACAACTGAATGGAATATAATCCAGATAACAGAAACTCAGTTATGGATTTTTGAAAATTTGTTTGTTCTTGACAACGCTGAATCTAAAGAATGTGTCTAAAAATTATAATGTGTTAAAGATTAAGATTATGTTTTTTTTTCATGAAATATTTTTAAGAATTATACCACCAGGTGCACATAATCCAATCTGCAATCTCTGTCCAGGGCAGGCTGGGATCTAGTTCATATTTCATTTTATCATATTATCACAGTTACATAACAGTCTATCGCAGTAAGTCAAATAAAGAGATTGTACGTCCTTATAAAAAATTGGTTTATATAAGGACTATAACTATAATTTACTAGGATGATATGTAGAACAGTCGACTATCTTCCTTCAATAATTCATATAATCTACTAGCTTTAAGGATAAAGCTGGTGCACATTTTGCAATGCCAAAAAATAAAAATTGTAAAATATTAAATTCAATTTCTTTATATTATCTTGATGCTAATGGTTAAACTATGTTATTGATTTTATGATTTGGAAGGTAGATATACTAATTTTAAAGATATTCAACTAAGGAGCAAGCAATATACAATTGTCTGTTTGAAAACATGAATTTTCCAAGTTAAAGCAAGTGACACTTTAACATTGTCCTTATGCTTTGATGATAATAGCAAAGGCAAAGATTAGTGGAAACTTAAAGTCACTTTAATTCAAATGGTCCATCATCTTGAAATCATCACCATACATAGAATAAGCATGATATCAGCTTTGAATTTTCAGCTGATTGTTAAAGCGATCTAACTGTCAAACAACTCCTTGAGGGCATCTTATTTCGTAGCGTTAGGTGGGATCAAGTAAAGAATTAACATTAATAGAGAAACCACTTTGAGTTTCAAAATGGTAGTGGCATTCCTGTTAAATCCAGTAATTTTAGATATTTGACTGGGTAAATTACAGCTTTATCTTGAACTATTTTTTAACTTTTACTTACCAAGCTATTTTCAGAAGAAATTAATTTTTTTTAAGTTAATGAATCTTACATAGTCTTAAGAATATTACTTTAACTATAAATAAGGATGAAAAAAATTGTCAGGATGTGCAGTCAAAAATTTCTTTAATGAGTTAGCAGACGTTTTAACCCAATGCTGACTCTCATTAAAGCAATTTTTGGCTGCACATCCGTTCAATTTTTTTTCATTCTTATAATTTCAACAGTAGACTACGTGCATGCAAACTCTACAACTCATATAAAGCGATAATTCTATACATTATATATTTTTGGTTTTCAATCAAAAAATACATTTTTTAAGCTTTCAATTTATTTTCCTTAGAAATTGTGATTAACTTGCTAACGTGTCTCCTTGCCTCAATCCATTCTTTACTTCAAATGGATCTGAGGACTCAACCTATCCTATCCTATGGATCTGAGGTTTTAATCTTTAAATTGTAATTCATTCCGAACCATGGTGCACCTGGTCAGCCTGATGAGCTTTTATCCGATTTCCTCAATTCTTCCATAGCCATCCATAAACAAGGCATTTCTGTCGACAATTTCATATTCTGCTTCAAAATCCACAAACAGCATCCGTACAGGTCTTCCATATTCCTGTCATCTTCTCAGAAATCTGGTCTATCATGGATCGGTTGCGTTGGAATTCTCCTTGGTAGTCTCCAAGTAATGTTTCTGCATATGGGATGGGACTATTCTCTTATATAACACAACAGAAAAGACCTCATATGCAATGGAGAGTAACGTGATTCCCCTGTGGTTCTTACATTGCATGACATTTCCTTTTCTTATGTATATTGGCACTATTTGGCCTTTTGACCAATCACTACGGATTACTTCTTCTACCGGATTACTTAATTTTCGCTATCAATTCTTGGGAGTACCGCAGCAATCTCCCAGTTTGCTTATTTGAAAAGTACCACTGGAAGACCATCCATTCCAAGTGAAAATTCTGAATCAATTATTACCAAATTTTAAAAATCTTTTCTTCTTGCTCCCCAAATATTTAATACAAATAAAATTATGGGTAATAAATATTCATGACACAGTCATTAAAAGTTTTTTATTAATGCTGACGTTTCAAACCAAACATGTGGGTCAGTAATACTTGAATACCTTCAGTGCTCGAAACACGCCCTGATGATGACCCACATGTTTGGGTTGAAACGTCGGCACTAATAAAAAACTTTATAATGACTGTGTCCTGAATATTTATCACCCATGATATGTAGAACAGTCGACTAACTTCCTCCAATAATTCAAAAAATAAAATTAGCTATTTTTCATCCTCCAATAATTCAAAAAATAAAATTAGCTATTTTTCATCCTCCAATAATTCAAAAAATAAAATTAGCTATTTTTCATTCATTTAAATAAAAATTCATCTATTTAATAATTGATTTATTATTTTCTTAAATTGTATAATAATGATATATAAAGCTGAAGAGTTTGTTTTTTCTTAAATTACCAGACCAAAGAGAATTTTTTTGGGGATTTAAAGTGCTCATTGAAGAAAGATTTAAGCTTTGCAACATCATATTATAACCCACAGACATAGAGTAGTAACCATCTCATTATTCAATCTGGAAAACTTTAGGAAATTAGGTATGCACAGTTTCCCATAAATATCATTTGCAGTCAGTTGTAAATAAAGGAGAGGGACAAAGTTTTAACCATATTTGAGTCAAGGTAGGATAACATTGTTTTTCCTAATAACTTCTAAGGAATGAGAAAAAAAGTATCATTGAGAAAGAGAGGTAATAAAAAAAGGAAATTTAACTACAACATATTGCTTCCATAAAGTATTTAATAACGACTAGTGAAAACAATCCGGTGTATACGTATAAATACATTAAAAAAAAAATTAATTTAAGAAAAACTATAGAGCAAATAATAAATCAAAATGGTCTCAAAAATAAGTATAAATAATGAACAATTAAATAATATATATACAGCATTATCCATATATACAAAACATTTTTATATATTAATTTTCTTTAACAATTTAAACAGTATAGTACAAAATTAAGATTATTTAATCGCCGTATAATATACACAATAATTCCTAATTAGCACACCGAACGAACTATGTATATCACAAAATTTTAATAACTAAACTCATAATGGACTAATATAAGACACATGAGCATTAAAAAATAATCACTGCATAACAATAACATACATACATATTAAAATGTTTCAAAAGAATGATTAAGGCATAAAACTTCACCACAGTTTGAAAATACTTTTCAATACATTTGATTTTTTTTTTCATGTTTTCATTAGATTTTTTCCTCCAACAATCTGATAATTTAGTGTTATAAATGTTCATATATACATTAATTACTAGAATATAAATATAATCCTCAAATAAGTATCTCCAATAAATAATAATTTCCCAAAATATGTTCAAGACACTAAACCAATATTTCTGTATCTTTATTGTAGACTATTAATATACAATATAGAATTTGTAACATTATTATTTTGAACTCAGATTAGCGGATTTCTTATATGATATATACTATACATAAAAATTCAACACCTTTATCAAGAAGAAGCAACTTGTTTTTATGAAAATTAAAAATCCAAATGAAGTATTTTTCAAATAAACTTCATACAGTTAATATTTTATTCATAAATTGACATAATAGAATGTTTAATAATGAATTAATACCACATTTGGGCTAAAAGGTGAACAAATAGTAATTAAATACAAGAAAACATGAATTGGATTGACCATTTTAACTAAATAGTCACTGTAAAATGCCAGTGATTAATTAAATCACCTATTCATACAAGTATAATAAGTGTTTTTGGCCGTACTTAGGAATACAGAACTGATGTTCGTTCTCTGCCTAAAACTGACAACCTTATCTTTCCTAACTAATATCTAACAATAAAAAATAAGCTTATCTTTGTGCTTCTCTTATTTAATTTCATTTACTCTTGCAATTTACTATCTAATTTTTAAAACCTCAATTCATTGTTTTTTAAATAAATTTATCAAACAAGTTGACAAAGCATTCAAATTAATTTCAATCAAGTGAAATTTGGAGAAAAAATGTCGCCATGGGAAGGACAACTTTAGAAGTAAAAATAATACAATTAGAAAAAAGAAGGTTATGAAATGAGGTAAAATTTCATATTTAACCCTAACCTGATACGTGTAAGTAGAATTAGATTGTCATTGACTAATGAGGTCAATAAATACAACTGACTTTTTACCAAATCAAAGCATGAGACTGAAGGCAATAAAGTGACTTAAGAGTACTTTGCTACAAAATTATAAGAAACAAACACCATAGTTAAAAGATACTTTCCATAAATACCAGCTAAAATGATTCAGACACGTTCCCAGGTAGAGTCAAGACCAGAGCACAAGAAAAGTAATAGAAGCCTACAGTACCAGGTAAGTGATTAAGAGAAAGGCATATAAATAATAATAGACAAGAATTATTTTTTAAGATGAGAGAAATTAAGAAAACATTTGAATAAATGAAAAGGCTTATTCAAAACCAACAAGACGAGCACAAATAGATTTAGGTTTATCTACACATACAGTTAAAGGAAATACGTAAATGAAGAAAAGCTAAATGGCAAATAAACTTGAATTTAGAATCAAAATAAAATATTGCTTCATTACTCTTTTAGCTAGGTGTTGAATTTCTTATTCAGACATACAAAAGCTAATACCAAAATAGGAGATACTACCTGTTGAAATGTACATAAATATTTATATATAATTTGATTAACTACACTATATTCAAAATAAATTTTATATAATTTTAAGTTTTTTGGTTTGTGAACATGTATATACATCTTTTTTCAAATTCTACGCATACATATACTCCTTCATTAGAACAAAATAAATTTTTATATAATTTTTGGATTTTTGATTTGTTAACATGTATATACACCTTAATTTTATCAGAAAAATATAGGTTACATTTTGGTTCCTATTAAATTGATCAACTAGTCTGATAAAGTGTTCATAAATATAAATAAATATGCAAACATTTTTTAAATACTATCTTCAAAATTAAAGAGAAAATAATTAGTAACCTGTATAGAAGAGATACCCGTAATCTGTATATCACAAGATAAACGAATTACGAAAGCAAAGGCAGTGACAGTAACTCTTTAAATGGTGGGTGGATTCTAATGACGTGGTAAGCGTTTCACATATTACAATATTTAATCTTATCAAGGGGTCAATCAACTAAACTGAGCAATGAACAATTTTTTTATTTTTGTTTGAATTAAGTAATTGAAAATATGAAACAACCAAGATAATGCAACTTCTAAATCATCTTCACAAAAATAGATCATGTTTGTACATGATTTATAATAACAGTGAACTTTTTCTTTAACTGAATTTATTAATACAAAGGCCTAGAAAATATTTATATAATCAAAGATTTTTCCGGTCGATACTCACAGTTTTTACTGTCTATTACAAGCATTTTTATGCTAATTAAGACAATATTTTATCATGCCATAGAGATCAAAAGTTTTATGTCATAGCTTTAGAAACAATATGATCTAACTAATGGCATATTTCTGTACTTTTGTAACGTTAATGCCTCATTATTGCATGTTGTTTATGAATCTGACTTTTCCTAAGTTAAATCAGCTTAGTTAATACTATATTATAATTCAAGATTTGAAACAGACATCATCATATCTGAAACTGAGATATGTCATATTGCTTCTAAGTCAAAATATGTTATAATTAAAAAAAAAAAATTGTTATGGAGCTACATACACCTTCCATTATTTATATTATATAGAAAACATAACAGATATCATACAAATGAAACCTAAAACATGAAAATAAAAAAGTTTCATGATGATCCTAACATTGAAAATTTAATGAAATAAAATAAAAGAAATTTAACAAAATTTCAGTTCTTTTTAATTAAATTTTGTTAAGCTACAATTCTACTTACATTCCCTTATAAAATTAAGAAAATAAAAATTTTCTCCAATTTAAATAAAAATTTTCTCTGTCACCAATTACTTATGTCATGATAATTATTTTTCTAACACTTCTAAAATACAAAAATAAAGAGCTCTCATTATGAAAATAAAAATAACAAATTACAATGAAAAAAAATAAAATAAAAATTACTTCTAAACTTTGCTAAGGATTAATGCTACTTCTACAACAAATTACTATAAACAAATTGGCTTTGGAAAGTAGCCATAAATCAGCTTCGAATGTGGTAACTCCATTTTATCACTTAATATCTATAAACGAAAAATACATTAAATATAAGTGCTTTTTTTTTTTAGTGCAAACTAAAATATGTAAGATATAAAAAAATAAAAATTAAAATAATTCAAACAAAATTGCTCATTGAAAATATATAAAATTTATATTAAAATTCGAGTGAATATTATAAAATAAAATGTTTTAAAGCTATTAACATTTCATCTGTAAGAAGTGAAACGCATACCATAAGCCACAGTGACTATAATGGACCCTCGTTAACAGCAAGAAGGGTGTCACAGATAACTTCTGGGTTCGAAGCAGATGCTTCATTTGTGGCTAGTCTAATGGCTTCTTTGTACCCTGCAGACTTTTTTCTTCTGTTATATCTTATCTGGAGAAGAAAAATATGATTTTACATTATCATGAATGAATAACTGGTGAAAATAACCAAAAAGCTAAGTTTAAAGAAATTAACATGTTTTGCTCAAAACAGAAACATGGTGTCTACCAATTTTAGCAAATGAAATCACCTCAGACTAGCAACATATTTATAAACATAAAATAATAAACTAACATATAGAAATTAAAATGATCATTTTTATTTTTATTCATTTTAAAAAATATTAGAACAATATATATTTCAATATATATATTGAAAGATGACATAATTCCTAGAGAATTAGAATGGAGTTTTAAAATTTACTTTGAATTTCTGATTCTTCCTCCCTATTAGAAATCCTTGAAAAACAATGCCCAACTGATAGACAACCTGAGAAATGTTATGTAGTTAAATTCATATGTAGTGAACAACTAAGGAAAGTTTCTTATTCCTTGAATTTCCTTTTTTTTAACTGAATGCTAATACGCTTTAGGGAGTAACTGTTAGTAATAAAATTGAATTCCAAACTTTTTAAATGATGATGTATCAGTTGAATATTTAATAAACTTGGAGATAATGATAACCATAAGTAACCAAAACTTTTTAATTGATGTTAAAAAATCTTTATAATAAAATGGATCATAAATTAATTGAGAAAATATTGTTAATTATTTTTAATACATAAAGTTAACCTTGCTTTTTACCTATAGATTTTATTTTAGGGAGAAGAGTGAATTTTCATGTGTTATTCATTCAGTTTATGGAAGCCCATATTCCTCAAGGTATAAAGACGAGATGAAAGAAAATATACCACCAATAATAATTAAATAATAAAACATAAACATAATAAAAAATCATGAATGGATTAATTGGGGTACCTTAAAATTTGTTAGAAAAGGTGAAAGCTGATCACAGGGCATAAGCGATGCAGTCGAAGATCCATACCATGACACATGGGCATCCCACTCATCACTATCTTGTCTAATTAAAATATTTAATACCTAAAAAAATATGTAAAGGTTAATTACTAATCACTAACGATAAAATCAAGAAGAAATATAGCATAAAATTATATCCCTATATTTAACAGCCCTAACTGAAAATTATATTTTAGGTGAGAGAGGAATAAAATTATAAAGAATAATTTAACCTTATATAGATAATGTCCCATCTGATATAGACTTCTACCAGTAACAAAATCTTTCTTTTATTAACTTATTGCGAGCTTATTGTGATTTACATTAATCATCATGAGTCTCAGCCTGTGTACCAAAGAACTGTTTGATAAATAATACTATTCTTTTTGAGAACAAGAAATCACTAACGGATCCAGGATAAATTTTTGAGGTCTTCAGCCCGAAAACTTAACATTATATATATATATATATATATATATATACAATGATAATTACTTTGGAAGAAAAAGAAAGAAAGTAACTACCTATATAAAAGAAATAGTGTTTAAATGAATTTTGAAGTCCTATTAAATAATCAATAATACTTTTAGAGATAATTTTTTAATATGTTTTTCATAAGACATAGTTATATTTGACCATTTGGAGGGGCTTCAGCCTAAAAGCCCCGTCTCCCCCATAGATTCAGCTCTGCAAGAAATTACACATGAGGTGTCATTTTAAATTACGAAAAATTATTTTTCTGAATCTTTAATAATAAACTGATAAAAGAGAAATTTTTTGACCTTCCATCCCACAAATTTAATTCATTTAATTAAATGAAATTTAATTCATATTATATTCTAATTATAAATGTAATAAATAGTTAAAAAATGAAATTATGGGGATCAGAAAAAAAACGATATACCCATTCTCAAATAATATTTACACATTTTTTGCTTAAAAAGCTTACTAAAAGCTTTTATTTTAAATCTACAATAAGCTTTCCAATTATTATCATTAACAGCTGCCATATTATTATCATGAACCACAATTATTATCGTAACCTGCCTTATCAAAAATCACATTCAGATTATTTAAAAAAAAAAAACAATAGCTTTATTTCTAAAATCCATTTTAATAGTCAATAGAAAATGGCGACCATTCAAATACAAAAAAAAAAAACTTCATTGAAATTTAACTAAAAATAACATTAAAATTATGTCAAATGTAAAAACTAAAATTCTAGCAATAATTTATATGAAAATATCAAATTTAATTTATTTAAAATCCTTTAAATTTAAATCTATGATTTAAAGGTAAAATTACACATTTTCAATTAAAATATCATTTATCTAATTCAATATTAATTGTGGGTAAATGGTTGACTGTCGTGAATAATGAAGAGAATAGTTGGGGTGATCAGTCAAATAAGAAGGCAAAAATAAATAATATTTATTTTGACATTTGCCGACGTTTCGACCTGAAGTTTAGGCCTTCATCAGGGCTGTCTCCAAAAGTGTTGATGGAGAAGTGTTCATTATTAGTAATTCATTATTCATTGCAATTATACAATTTAATTGATTGTCTCATAATTTTTTAACTTTTCTATCGTAAAAGATGAGGGGTGTGGATTTATTTGGAATCAATCAATTGTTTTCGTTAACTGTTTCTATTTTATTGAATCGTTTTAGAGTTTTTATTTCTATATAATTTAAGAGACTATTGTGTTATTATTTTATTTTGTCTATAATATCCGTCTGTATAATGCATATTTAAATTGTTTGTACTATTTTTGAAATTAACCACTTTTTCATCTTGATCACATTTGTAAAGGGCCCAAATTATCCTTCTTCTCAAATCTGTTTGTTCATATAGTATTTTTGGTTCACTTATATCCAACCTATGACTTGTTTCCACTACTTTCTGTACTAGAGCGGTTTTATTTTTATTTGTTTCTCAATTCTTAACATCATTATTATATTGATTCATTTTTACTTTCACTTAACTACATAAGAAATATACACTGACAGACAAAAAATTCCACCCACTTGATTTTTCCATGTTTTCATCTAAAAATATTTCTGTAAAGTTGTATTTGTATATAATACATGGTATTTGTAGATAATACTTAGTATTTATGGAATTTTATAATCTTTTTTACCTTTAATAATCAAAATGTGATTGGGTAAGAAAGATTAGAGAAAAAAAAAATTGAAAAACGAACAATTATTATTCTAAAAGAAATTAATTACATCATCGTTTAGTAGCGCCTGTTTCCTCCACTTGCCTTCACTACTTCTTGAAGACGCCTCGGCATACTTTCCAACAGTCGGGAAATGTCCCTTTGCTGGAGGATAGCCCATTCCTCCCGAAGAGCCCTTTCAAGGTTCTGCAGTGTATCAGAAAGTGTTGCACGCGCTCTTATTCGTCTTCCGAGGTTATCCCATAAATTCTCAATGGGGTTCAAATCTGGAGAACGTGCTGGCCAGGCTAAAACCTCAATATTGTTCTGTTGAAGGAACGTCTGCACTATGCGGGCGACATGTGGTCGTGCATTAGAATAAAACGATCGCCAATTTTGTTGAGGATAGGCAACATATGAGGTTCCAAAATCTCATCAACGATATACGGCGAATAGCCGTCAAAGATCCTCCACCAATTCTGTGTGGCGATCCATTGAAATCCCAGCCCACACCATTAAGGAACCACGTTGGAAAGGTTGGCTCTGGGAAAAATTACAGGCTGCATATCTTTCATTTCTTTTTCTCCATACCCTTTCCCGCCCGTCTGGAGATCGAAGAGCGAATCTTGACTCATCTATAAAAAGTACAGCACTCCATTCGTCCATAGTCCAATGGCTGTGTTCTCGAGCAAAAGCCAGCCGTGTTACTCTGTGAGTTCTGGTCAACTCTGGTCCTCTTACTGGACGAAAAGCCATTAATCCATACTCATTTAATCTTCTCCAAGCGGTACGTTCAGAAATTTGCACACCTGGAACTTCTTCGAGCTGATGAATCGCTTGAACAACAGTAAGGTGCCGGTTTAGTAAAATTCTCAAAGTCAAAAACCAGTCATCCCGTGGTTCTGTTACCCTAGGCCATCCAGAACCGGGTCTTCTATTGTAAGAACCAGTTTCCCAAAAACGCCTGACGGCATCTCGTAAAGTTTCATATGGAACTCCAATGGCATTAGCTACATATCTAATGGAACGTCCATCATCAATAAGTGCCACACCATGTGCAACATCCTCAGCACTAAGAGGCATTTTTAAACTTAATACTGAAAAAATTAAAAGCCGGAGACTAAGAAATGTGCTGCAACAAACGGCACTGAACTAATGATACTGAATAAACATTTTGATTCCATAGAAAGTAAACATTGGAATCTAGAATCATTTCATGGAATTAAGAATTAAGGGTTATTGTCCTCTATATTAACATTCCTAATTAAAAACAAACAAAAAGATTACCTATTTATTCATTAAAAACAATAGACCAATCCAAAGCAGAAATATTTTTAGATGAAAACATGAAAAAATCAAGTGAGTGGAATTTTTTGCCAGTCAGTGTATAATACGGGAATGTATTGCGATCGTAAAAATTTTCAAATCTAGGGTTTTAACTCTTAGTTCAAACAACATAGTCTTGTAAAATGTTTTCTGTATGTGTCTGTTTTTTATTTTTCTCGAAAATGGCTTTGACGATTTTAATTAAATTCATTTCATCAGTGTAAAATTAAGCGGTTTTGAATATAATATAGGTCTTATTCTCATTGATGTTCTCTAACAGGGCTTAAATGCCTAATTTTCAAAATTACTTCCTCTAAAGTAGCTTTAATTTTTATAATTTGAAATAATTAACCATTTCACATTGTAATCTGCTATAAACATTTTTAAATATAAAATATGTGAGAATTTTACAATTAAACCAAAAAACTTGAACCACTACAATCCATGAAGGGTCTTGGGTTCAGTGCTATTTAGGAAAAGCACTGTTTCTCGTATAATATGTATATACACCAACAAAACAAATAAAAATACCTACAATGGTATATGAATAAATACAGCAACCTTCTTTATCATTGGCACTCTTGTCGGACTAAAAATATTTTATAGCACTTAATTATTTATTGTTATCAAATATTTAATTAAAATATACAGTTGTAAAAAATAAATTTAGTGAAAAAGAACATAAATAGGATATATTAGATGGATTTAAAAAACATGTGGTAAATAATTGTTTTAAATAATACTTTTTACCATCTATAATTTTTACTTTCATTTTCTTTTGTCTGGAAATACCTATTTCTACAAAAAAAAAAAATCTGGTGTACCTTTTAATCTATATTAACTTATTCCTATCTATTTTAAAAAAGTTTTTATATCTTTACATATGTCCATCAAGCAACAAAAAAAATTGAATTAGATTTATTTTCCTGAAAATTGATCAAAGATTTGAGTACGATTTATTTGATAAACTAAACCAATGTAAACCGGCTTAGGGTAGATCAGTGTAAAAATTTCAATACCCTCTAACATTGCTGATCAAAAACTTTTTACCATAGCCTAATTTTGTCAAACAATAATTTCTGTTAAAAGTAGAGGAAATAGTGAAGCTTGTGTGATGCAGGCAAAAGATTTTCTTACTTTCACTAAGTTATCTTTTTTCTCTCATTCATCCCTTTCTGACACCAGGATATGTACCTATAATCTTACATTGGAAATTAAATAGCTGTAACTCCATTAATAGTTGTCCGAAATGAACGATATTTATATAGTTTTGTAGGGAATTTCATTACCTTTAAAAAAAAATAAAAAATAGAACATTAAAGGAAAGTTTCATCAAAATCATTAGAGCCGTTTTCGCGCTACAGCCTATAGAAAAACATGTTTTTCGTTTATTGCGAACAAACTATTGCGCATGGAGCACCGAATTTCTGTCACAGGCATCAGTAATCAAAACCCTACAAAATAAAAAAAGAAGCAACAAAATCGGTTCAGTAATTCCCGAGAAAATCTTAGCACAGACAGACAGAACAATGGCTAAAAATGTTTTTTTCGTACTCAGGGGGCTCTGAAACGTATAGACCCGTCGAAAACAGCATATCGGAAATTTGACCTGATCGCAATACTTTCCTTACCTAGTATAGATAGGAAAGTAATAAATTAAAATATGTGTAGAAAATAGAATACACTGTATCATCGCTAATACTGGTTTGATTCCGATAATTTTTTTCTTTGTTTTGTTGTTAATGTAATTACTTTTAAAAAGTTTTATTATAAATTTTACCATAGAATATATACTTAGATAGTTAGGCCCCAAAACATTTTCTTTTCTTTATAACTTTTTTTCCTGAATTTTTTAGGGAATTTAGTCCATGTACAAAAATTGAAAGGACAATTATTAGAACATTATAGCAAAGTTTCATCAAACTCGTTAGTCGTTTTCGCGCTACAGTCTACAGAAAAACATTTTTCTAATGTATTACACAGCAGCCACTGTCACTTGGGTGTTATGTAGCACCCAATTTCTGTCACAGGCATTAGTAGTCAAAATCCTACAAAATAAAAAAAGAAGCGACAAAATCAGTTCAGTAGTTCCCGAGAAAATCTTGGCACAGACAGATAGACCAATGGCTAAAAATGTGTTTTTCAAACTCAGAGGGCTCTGAAACGTATAGATCCGTCGAAAACAGCATATCGCAAATCTGACCCGATCACAATACTTTCCTTATGTAGGAGACACATCCATCATATATAAAGTGGGTATTCTTAATTAAATAAGGTGTAAAACCTGGCGGTTGAGCATCATTTCCTGCACAACCATAGGTCCTACAAAAGTACTTCCTCATGTAGTACTAAACCCAAGACCCTTCATGGATTGTAGTGGTAGTTTTTTATTTATAATATAGTATTAAAAGAATTATTAAGTATCTTAAATAACAAAAACTAACAGGGGCTTCCAGTAAAGTAGACTTTATTTATTCCTATAAAAATATTTATATCCACACAGCCATGTCACTAGGTCAAATTTATTTCCAGTAGAACAAATATAATATTTTTTCTAAACCGGCCGGGTATCTAGAGCAGAGGTCCATGGGCCAGATTCTTGGTGATATTTTAAACATATTTTACAAAGCTAGAAAAACCTTTTTTTCCTCTCAATGGAGCACGGAACAGCTTCTCAATAAATAGTTTTAAGAATATAATTAGGAAAAACAACAAATTAATTACTGGGTTAAAAAAAAATGTTTGAACACATCAATATTGGTTTATAATAATAACTGCAAATTCACAACCACTTCCGTATATTATAATATTACCCTAAGTTGAAAATCGCTGACATTTTTTAATTTTTTTAAAACCCTTTTTTTATAAATATTTTCACCAGTAAACTTCCTATGATATAGGAATATTGGTTCAACCATTCTAGGAACAATTGTATTCTAACCCTTTGGCTGAATACACATCCAAGAGGATACAATATTCGATAATTCAAATTTTGAAAGATAGAATAAATTTTGACCTTCTCGCTTAACTAGTCACTAGAACAACCACCCTCCCCCTTCTTCCCTCTCCTGCCTATACCAGAAATGGAGAGGTAGAGGGTAATAGACAAAAAATAAAATTCATATTACTTCATATATTTTTTACAAAGTCTGCCAGAACAGAACCAGTAAAGCAAAGGCAAATCATTATTAAATTAGAATGGTAGTAGGCCTTCACAATGTTCCCCAAAAACAAATGAATGGGTTAAGACTCCAAATACGACTACAAACATAATAACCATATTTTGAAAAAATTACATTTTGGTTAAAGATTAAAAGCCCATTTGGTAAAAAGCCCTAAAAGGGGCTAGTTTAGCAATTTATGAAAATTAAAAAATATATATAATATGGAATACTGTACCTTTCCTGGCCACCAAGGAAATCCATGAATTTTACCCCATACAATATCACCAACAGCGAATGTGTTGCCATTGACAGTTTTACATGAGGTAACATCCTTATAACCGTCAATAGAATTGGCTACTGGAAAGTCTGGGATGTCTTCTGAACTAAGACTTGATTCGCCACTACTAAGATCAGTTTTTTCATAAGTGTTTGAGTTAAGCCTCCTTAAATTAATTGAAAGTTTCTGTTTCAAACATCTTTCTTTGATTTCTTCATCTGGTTTTTCAGTCTTATGTTTCTTTTTATGTTTAACTTTATGTCTATGTTTCCTATACTGAAGCTCTGAAGGGGAAGGACTTTTATGACTAACAGGAGATTCTGTCAATTCCTTTCTTTTGGCCTCTTTTTTCGCTTTTTTCATAGCTTTTTTAGCAGCTTTAGAAGCACTTGGCACTTTTTGTTTATCTTCAGTTTCACTCTCACTACACAACTGCACTTTTGATGGAATTTTTAAAACTGTACCTTCACCTTGTGAACCAAATGAGATCTTAATGACAGGAGTAGTTTTTGCCTTTTTGGAACCTTCCTCGAAAACAGTTTCATCCCATAAGTCCTCCATTGAACCTACACTTCTTTTTTTCCTAAGCACCATTTGTCTATCATTTTCATCATCTGGCAATGTCTCAACATTACAAGGGAGTTTATTTATATTACTGTCATCAGAGGGTTTAAACCAAAATTCTTCACTACGAGAAATTGGAGAAGTAAGGTTCCCATTAATAGAATTGTTGTCACTATTTGGCAGTCTAGGTATTCTTTGAACAAATGTCGGGCAAAGCTTTGGAGGAGAATTATTTGGGAGTTGATTATCCCTCCTATTTTCTGAAAACAAAGACCGAGGACTACTATCAGGTGGTTCAGGTTTCTTACTTCTAGTTGGATAAGAGTTCACATTTTCTGAGTTTTCATTACAAATGGATTTACACTTAGAACAAAGAACTTGTCTTGGCCTCAGTCTAACTGTCATTTTTTGATTCTTGGTCTTGGATAACTTTTTAGGGAGATGAAAATGGTTAAGATGAACAGGCTTCTCCTGAAAATAGGTAAACCTCTGTCTAATGCTGAAAAATAATTTGTCCTCTTCATTGGCTTCATTTTTAGGACTACCTATTTGATTAGCAGCATTTTCTGGAATTCTGCATGGTAAATACCTACAAAAGAGAATAAAGCTAAGAAATGGAGTATCCAAATGTCAAAATCCTACCAATCTGGGTAAACCATAAAAGATAACATTAAACAAAATATTTTAGACCAGAAAATCACTTAAAATAGTTTTTTTTAAATAAATTTGAATTTATGAAACATGAACTTAAGGTGTGACCACTTTTTGGTTAAAATGAACTTACCTTTTCGTTGAATCTAACAAAACACCCTGAAACAATTTGCTTTCAAAAGCATAAGAAACTACTAATATATCTTGCAGAGCTTCATCGACAGTTACAAGTATTTTTGAATTTGTTCTTAACATTACTCTAGTATCTATTTGTGAGTCAGCCATAATAGTTGGCAACGTTTATCGATAAATAATTTCGATGTAAACATGGTCATCGATTCCTGTAAACCAAATTTAAATTTTCCTGAGAGAAACCAGTAAATAAAGATTGATAATTTCATCATGGTCACATAAAATCTGTTTTTAAGTTGCATTTGAGCTGTGAACCAATTTCTTTGCTAAATCTTCTGTACAGAGCATAATCCTTTCATGTGTTCCTAGCTCATACTGAAGTACATGGAAATCTTAGCCTTTTGTTTCAATAAAATTCAGAAATTGAAATTTAAGGATATTTTAGCTACTGTCAATTTGAAATTAAAAATATCCCATGTTCAGAAGTGTTTATCAATTTCTAAAAGGATGGTTCTAACCCACAGTTTTGGATTCTTGAACTATTTCCAAGATGATTTCCTGCGCATGTTCGATCCCTTTACTAGACCACAACTAGGTCGTGTCAAAACTACTTATTTTTATCTCACTATCTTCTTATTTTGAAATAAAATATTTCCCCAAAACACTAACTATTTATTTCTGAAATAACGTTCAAAATACATGACGCTGAAAATATAATATACAATCAATCATATTATAATTCTTAAATATATAAAATTATACCTATTACCTTTATAACATAAATGTATTTCCTCTACCGGTATTGCTGCCTTACAGGTTAAGGCATTAGCGGGTTAATAAGGTGAGTTATACGTGTGCCCACTGTTCTTCCACCTTTTTACATATCCATGAAGTCTGAATAATTCTTTTCCTTCAGGAGCCGAATGAAGTCGGTCTGTCATGTAACATAAGCTCCAATTTTCTTCATTCATTTTTCACATAAGCTCCATAGCAGTATATGACACCAAATTTGCTCGGCCGTGTTTGTGATTCAGCAGGCGAGGAACGGGATTCCCTATTCTTGTTTATTCTATTTCTCTATGATCCAAACATTTCCCTCAAGGGATATATCAGAACAAGTAGTTTGGTTGGCACATTTAGATAAGGGCTTGGTGGTCGAGGGTGGTCAAGCATTGCCTGCTTTATCCTTTCGTAGCCTAACGGAACCCATTCGAATCCGGCCAGGGCGGGTTGGAGTTTATTTGATGGCAGACCTCTCCAATTCAGACATAATCGAAGCTTGCTTGAATTTGATCGAAGACTAGCTTTGATAGAGCCAGATTCATAACTTAGCCCTGCGGACTTCCCCTGTTAATATTCTTCTCAGTCGTTTAGTGGATCCCTCGTCCTTTCACTCTCCTCTCGCATAGGAACCTCCTAACAAAGGAGTAAAAGTTGAAAGATGCTTCAAAGTGCTGCAGAAATTAGAGTACGCAGGGACACTACACGCTATCGAAAGCGGTGGATTTATCATATCATCAATAAATAGTATTCTTCGCTCTTTCAATAAAATGGCAACATCCAGTAACAAGAAAATCATTGGTTCTTCTGAGATCCTATATAAATAATTATCTGCTCACTCTTCAACATCTCAAACTATCTTTATCAGTGCGTCGCCAGTTCCTATTTCCTTCGTAAAGCCAACTGTTGTTGACTTGTTATTATGTGCTGAAACAGGACTTTGCTCGTGACATAGAGGAAGTATATCAGTCTACATAGATTAAACAAAACCATTTTCTTGCCTTTGAATACTAATCTCAAATCTCTAAATGTCCTTCCTCTATATAGGATTTTTCTGTGCCAGACGAGAGCCCGGTTTGTACCCCTCTTAGTTCTTGCTTCTTCATTGTTCTAGATTTATGTATGATCTGGATACATTATGGGATGGTCATAAGAAGAGATGAAGACCAGGCAGGCAACCACCCGATTTTAATGTGTCCAGAACATACATAAACGTAGAACAATGGACAAGGAAGAACTACCAGAGGTGCAAACCGGGTTCTCGCCTGGCTTTATCCAATGCCGACTTTATCTTTTGCAGGGCTCCGATATACCCGAATTCTTAATGACTCTTAGAAGGTTCATTTTTAATAAACTCATCTCAGGACACTTTTTAGGCAGCGTACATCGATTTTTGTTTCATAACCATTCTCCACTAGGTTCTCTAATATCCAAATCCTCCATTAACCAGGAGTACAAACATATTAGATATCATGGCTTGGATTCCCATTCCCATTCCCATGTAGTCGACTGTGTCAATGGAGTATTGATCTATTGTATAACCAACCAACTAGCAAAGTAAGGAGCTGCATCATCTCAAGCAAATTCAACTCAAACTCTACAGGAGGGTTCTCTATAAATAAACCTGCTTTACGAATAAGATGGAATGATGCTCACCCACAATATAATCCTGAAGATGGTTATTATAAAATTACCAGCAAAGAGCCCCTATTCATACCTTTGACCTCTGTTGCTGATTTGGTGTGGTGCTGGTTTTCACAGCTTCTGCAGATCTAGTCTTGAGTGAATAGGATGAGAGTGCTGAAGCTGAAGGAGAGGCGAAAAATCGTTGAATTTTGATAGTTGAATCTGAACTCTTGGATGCTGTTGTGACTTGATTGTATTGATAATTCTGGGAATATCTGTTATTCTTAGAAATGGAATAATAGAAAAAAGACCGAATTTAATACACTTTTATTTTTACACAAACATATCAACACATTGAATAATACTACTATTAAAAACCATATGGTGTACATACATTCCAGTACATATAAACATATGGTTATTGTTTATGTTATAACACAGGCCTCTGAAAAATATGATTTTTGTGTGGCTCTTTAAAAATTTCAAAGCAGTTAGCAGAACGTGGTTCGTGATAGTTGGCACATTTTGCGACTGTATCTCTAGTCATGTAGTAGGAATAGGTTTCGTGGGCCAGAACGCACTTCGGCGGGTGGTTATAATATGTTTTGGTGTGGCCGTACTGCTGACATCGTACACCTTGCGAAATGATTCTTTTTTTACTTGGTTCTTCGATCTTCGCGTCCGTTTAATATAGGAGTTCGGTAATTAATTTGATGAAGACCGCCCGGGTTACGCGTGGTTCACAATCATTTCGGCCACTCTTGTTCATGGAGTGCTGAATGCTTCCAGGTTTATCCGAAAAACTTTTATCCGTGTTTTATGAACAACTGTAACCCATGCGGTCCTCATGTAAATAATTACCAGTAATTCAATTTCAACATTGTTTTCATTGAATGTTTGTTTAGACACCTCTACGAAAAAATCAATGGCAACGGTGTTTTAAACCTCGAATTAAACGTAGAGAAAATTATATTTCCAATATTCGTTTTCTCGTATCCATAATTAGCGAGTTCTTTTTTAATAGTGGTTACTGGAGTGGTATAATGAAAATTTTAAATGACAATTGGAGGGCTTCTATCTTCTGGTAGCTGATAGGTGTACAAATCAGCACCACCTTTTCTTAAACTTGTGGTAAGGCTGCGACACACATCAGAACCTTCTGGATATGCACTAGCTCCTCTCAAAGAATTATTTTGAAACTATTAGAGCCAGCTTCATTGTGGAGGTAGCATACTAGTGCTGTGTAATCTTTGACTTCGTTCAATTGATCAGGTGAGGGTTTATCATTAACGGGATGCTTATTTGCTGGCTGTACATCTTCTTGGGTATTTGATTGCTTCAAATCTATTACTAGTAGTAATAGTATTACTGACCTTTTTGTGTTTTTGCGGTTCTCTTTCCATTATTACAGGTCATTTTCGTCAAGAAACCAGTTCCCAAGATATAGCTTCTTGTTTATTTCTGTTAGCGTTTTCTATTTCAATTGGTAAACCGCTTAAAGCGGATAAGTCAGTATTTTTTTTTTATTGGAAGAATTCGCTCACAAAGTTTGACTTCATTTTACTGCACATTCACTGAACTCACAAATAAGATAGAAAAACAAGAAATTAATATTCAATTATCTCATTTAAACTTGTGGAAACTGTAGACATATATTGAGAGAGGAAAAATACGTGTGTAACCTTCAATCACCAACAGAGGTTTGTTTTGTTTTTCCGGATATTAATTGCAATAAAGAAAAAAGATTAGTTCAGTGAGCTTATAACGCACCTTTCACTCACCAACCTGCTTTGAGTAGACATAGGTATCTTCTTACATAAAGGAACGCGGCGGCAATCTCAAGTTAGCCGTCAACGTTCGGCAAAAAGGCCTACTTTCCGGACTGGTACCGGAATAAAAGCAAGCAAGAATGAAAGTAAAAAATCTGGTGCGCGCAACACACAACTTTCACTTACTCTTTGAACTTTGAATACAAATTATTTTCTGGTCATGTTAGACTATTATAAAATGTTTTAAATTGCATTTTAAACTGAGCTAAAGCTAACAAATCACAAATGCTATTAAAATAACAAAAGTCCTATTTATTATATCACCGGTTGATTATGGATTGTACGATTCGTTGATTATGGATTGTTCGATCCATTGATTATGGATTGTACGACTATAAGTCATTAAACTGTTATTTTCCATTGCAAAGTTTATCAAAACGGAATTAAGAGATTTGCAGTGTCTGTCATAGACAGGTCAAAAGTTGACACACTAATTGTAAGTGGATTCTGTTGGAATATCGCAAAAAGAAAAATTATCAAATTATTCATTAATTTAATTTTCTAAAAGGTTACATGATGATTTTTCGGAATAAACGGACGATAGATATCTAAATATTTAAATATATTATGAGATCTAGAGTTATTAAACTACAGTAAATATATTTAGGGTTATAAACGTATCTATGAAATATTTTTGTATTTCACTTCTTTTTTCACACAAGTAGAATGGAATAGTAGTGGAATATCACAAAGGGAAGATCTATCGAATTATTCACTAATTTAGTTTTCTAAAATGTTATATGACAATATTTTGGAATAAACTTTAATACCTAATTATTTAGAGAGAAATACTTTATTAGAAGTACTGCTGCCCTACTACATAGGGTTGCTTCGTACACAGCATACTTATCAATCCATACGGACATTAATTTTATATTGTATCTTTCTTTTTTTTTTCTCCCCCTTCATAACAATACTCTTACAAATTATCAACAATAAACCGTATTAAACAATAGACATAGCATAATAAACACTTTCCCAAAATAAAAAAAAAAATCCTTTTTTCTCTTTAAATTCTCAAACGTCAGGAACGCAATACATCACACACATATATAACACAGCAATTCCTTGAATGTAGCCAAAAAGATAAGACGATTGTGGACCAATTTAAAATTTAATAAATAATCCCTAAACTACAGTAAATGTATTTAATATTATAAACACATGATTTATACATCCATCAAATGATTTTATATTTTATTTCTTCTTTCACACAAGTACAATGAAATAGTTTTTTTAACAATGCCATAACTTGTTCAGGTGGATTTTAAATACAGATGTAAAAAAAAGTTTACATTTTGACAGTAAATTTCATTTAATTTCCTTGAAAGCATGTGATTTACGTTAAATATTATCAATTTTAAAAAATTGTTACTTATAAGTTTTTCGCCGCTCTCCGTTACCTTCTACAACTTCCTATATTAGATATTGTTTCTCTAAAATTATCCGCTTTCCAACGATATATTATAAGTATACTTCTGACTTGTATTTCCAGAGATTTATTTTCGAACTGTATAAGCATTTATATATTTTTTCTCCTTTATTCAATTATTAGATTCTTTCAAAAGTTATATTTAGAATTTTTTCGTAACTCTGAATAATGCGAAATAAATAACTTTTTAAAATAAACCATATTAAAGGTACTTTAGAGGAAGACGTATATGAATATTGGGCATTTAAGCCCTGTAAAGTGACATCAATGGGGATAAGACCTAATTGATATTAAAGACCACTTAATTATACAATGATACACCGACTTTAATCAAAATCGTTAGAGCCGTTTTTGAGAAAACTGTGAAAATGTGTTTCAGGTAGATATAAAGTGGCACTTCCGGTTAGCCGATTTTAAGGTAAATGTTGCCGTCACAACTAAGGCATATACCTATCTTAAATACGTGATATCAGTTTCATAGGACTTTTCGTTTTTGAGCTAGACTGCTGACATACAAACACTCAGACACACAGACCATTTTTCGGGACTTGGTCATTTCGACCCAGGGTACCTCAAAACGTATAAATCCGTCGAAAACTCAGATTCAAAAAATTTTCTCGATCGCAATACTTACACTTACACAATTTGTACAAACATTTTGTTGTTTTATGTTTAATGGAATATTGCAATCGACCAAGGAAAAAATATCCCTTCCCTACATAATACATAGGAACTACTTATTTCCATTATGTTTTGCTGTTTCTTGACTAAACAAAAGAATTTTTCTCCCGGGCCAACTAGTGTTTGATAATATTAAAATGGTTCAAAATACACATAGTCTCTATCTATCTCTCCGATGCACAGATTGGAGTATATTCCCCTTCGACTGAGGGAGTTTGGAATGGAATTCGGTGTCAGCTGTTGGATGGTCAAACAGGCCCTAAAACTGCAGCTGGTGTTCCACCACTTACGCAAGACTGTTGGATGGAGTGTGTTATATCTTCAGGGAAAAGAGGAGCTTCTTGTAAAACAATCAATTAGTATAAGTTAAATTTATATGTTTTTTGTTACTACCCACTTCCTTCTATAACTGAATATTTAAATTTTTTATTCAATTATCGTAAAAATAAAGGAGGCTCCTATATTTATTTATATTTCAGTGTGACTATTTTTATTTGTTTAAGTAGTGGTATATACTCTATCATATTTTGATACATATAAAAAAATACCAGCCCTAGCATTTATAAATATCCCACATTTATATATACATAGTATAATCGGATCACGCATGTAGGTTCTTTAATTTATTAATCTATCCACCAGCTTGGATTTATGCTGGGTTGTCTTCGGTGCCACATTACCATACCTCGTTTCCCCTTGTGGGCGGGGTGGCCGAATGGGCTAACGCGTGTGCACTGCACCGCCGTCGCCCGGCAACCTGATACATAAGACTTTGATTAAAAAATAGTCACGAGTTCGCATCCCAGTGCCCGGAGGAGTTTTTAAATCACCGCCCACACTCCCTGGCCCGGGAAAACCCCCGTATAGCCTTAAAGGCGAGGAAGGGGAGGACAGAAAAAAAATAAAACCTCGTTTCTCCTTTAGTTGATTATCTGATTCTTTCATAGTTTATATTAAACTATTTTTTATTATTGGTTACAATGTGGGATGATTAATTACTTCAAATAAACAAAATCAAAGGGACTTACGATCTTATTTATTGATAAATAACCTTAAGTACATTTGCTGATAATTAATTCTCACCTTTCCATTTCCTATGATTCTATTTACAATAATAGAAATTGAATTCAACATTTAAAGACAAAATGTTTATTAATTTAGGGGGTGAAATATATGGATTGATCTGGCAACACTGATCTACTGTGACAGTTATCAAAACTCCCGCTCCCGAAGCGGAGGTTCCAATGTTGTATTTTTTTGGGATATTTAATTTTGACAGTTTGTACTAGTGTTCTATAGTGTAAGGTCTAGTCGATTTTCGTTTTCAAAATGATTGAAGAACACGGTATTGTTCTGTCATTAACGACTTATAAAACTGAGATTAGCTTATATGACACTTTAAAAAATTTTTGTAAGAAATATTCAGAAAAAATGACTGGTAGTGATAAAAGTATTGTTAAGAAACTTTTAATTAGTAGCTATGAAGTTTTACTCAAGAAAGTTGATAGCAATTATAGAGGTACCTTATATTGTTCTTAACAAAGTTAAGCTTATTAAATTTTAATTTTGTTCAGTAATGTAATTGTAGACTTGATATACCTGTGGTTTTATATGACTTAATTCTTTTTGATCCTTGCTCCGAATCTCTTCTAAATTAAGAGAAATAGTTTACCACATTATATTTTATCTAAGGCAAATTAAGTATTCTAGCCAGTTTGGGGAGAATTACATTAATTATATGACCCCACTTTGAAACACAAGATAAATATACCTCTGTTAAGGATTCCATAGTTCTTGAACTTGCTCTGACATTTCATATTTAAAAATAATCTTATGAAAAGCCACAAATTTCTTGGAAAGATCTTGATTATTTAACTACTGAAAACAGTCCTTGATTCCTTATCTGCTTACTTAGAACCCATTTATTCTCTCTCTCCTCCATCGATGACATGGTCGATTGTATTTCCTCCAACCTCCTTGATTTCCATAATCATCATACACCTTTAAAAATACATATCTTCAGATATTCTCCCACTCCCTGAATTAATTCTAAAATGTGAGATAGTGGCTATGAATATTAGAGTGACTGCTAGATGTTACAGACATACACAACTGCCTCTGCATTAGTCTATATTTAAATCTCTATGAAAACTCACAAAATATTCCTAGCCGTGCCAAAGCCTAATAACGTTTTATCGAATGGACACTCCTTAAGAATTTCTCTGTCACTAACTCCTAAACATCTCCCTTTCGTATTTTCATCTGATGTTCACCTTCATCTTTCTTGATATCTCTCCTGCTGACCTATTTTCTGCCATCCTTAAATCCAAAACCAACAATTATTGTTCTGACAAAATACCTGTTTAAAATAATCAAACTCTGCCTTCCAACCTTACTTCTCGCATTTTTTCACATTTACAATTACTCTCTCCAAAACTCCATTTTTCCCAAAGCCTGGAAAAGAGCCATAGCTCATCTGTTGAATAAAGTTCCTGCTCCATCATCAGCTTCCGATTTCAGACCAATCTCCATTTCATCCAAGTCACTGGAAAGATTTGTCCACTCTTAGTTCAACAACTCCTTTAGAATAACATCTCCTCAATCCTTTACAATTCAGTTTCCGTTCTCATTGTTCCACGAATCTGCCTTGCTAAAAATTACTTAACTCTTCCAATCCTCCGTAGATAAACAGACAGTCTCTATCCTAATTTTTTTCGACTTTACTAAAGTTTTTGATTCTGTCAATCATAAGATCCTCTCCAAACTCCAAAGCCTGCCCATATCAAATGGTTCCTCTCCATCTTATCCCATCGCTCTGAGACAGTTGTAATGCCTAACAAACTTCAATCGTCTCTCCTCACTCTCCTTGACTCTTTTTTCTATTTATATTAGCGATCTTCCTGACACCGTTCATAATTCCCGTTACTACTTATATGCTGATGATATCCAAATTTACCAATCATTCCTACCCTCTGAGATGTCTGAGGCTACCTGAAAGCTACAAGAGGATATCAACTGTATTAATAGATGGGCAGAAATAACTGAATTGAAGCTGAATATAGAAAAAAATAAAGCTATTTTTATCGGTTCCAAACATCTCATTAGTTTCCTTTCTCACTCCTCTTTTATACTCTAATAACCGTCCTATCCATTTTTTCCTTACAGTCAAAAATCTATGAGTAACCTTTGATCAGAACCTCTCCTGGAATAACAATATCTCATAGATACCCACAAATCCATAACTGTTTTTAAATGATTCCTAAGATTCCATGATTGTATTCCTCTAAAACTCAGACAGCTCCTTGTAACCTTCCCTGTTTTCTCCCACTTTGGCTACTTATATTATTGATTGCTTGGTATATGGAGGGCTGGAGACGAGACTGAAGAGATTCATAAATTGCTTCATAAGATACATCTTTGGGATTCCCAGACGTTCTCATGCTTTCTGCTGGTACACCGTTTTTATCCTGCTTGCTGACGGCTATTCCTTGTTGTTTTCCTTTTCCAAGTCCTCAAACCCAAAAATCCTCCCCATAATCTAGAACTCCTTGCTCTTAAGTTCCTCTATTCACTCTCTTAGTACCAGATCTCAATCTATTGATCTATATCTCCACTCTTATAAAACTACTTCATTCAGCCTTTCATCATTTGTGCTACCTCCTTTTGAAACTCCATACTTCAGACCTCCACAAATTTCTTCCATCACCTACTCTATATTCAAACTTCCACAAATATGTACAATTTACTAGCATATATATACTGTATAATTTAATTAACTATAAAATTAAAATTGCAGTTAACAGTTTATTAATCATTGTTCTTAGAGGACTGTAGCCTCAAAATAAAATTATTTTTCATTTCATTTCATTCATACAGCTTTTCTTACACTTTTTTGCTCTTAAGAAAATAAAAAATAGACTTTTTTTACCTGTTAAAAGTGTTTATCAGTGAATTGGTAAATGGTATCACTAATCAACCAAAATACTCGGTGATGTATGAAAATATCTTGTGATTTAAAAAAAATGTATTTTAGCTGTTCCTACTGAATGGAGTGATGAAGATATATTAATTGCACTTTATTTGCATATTTGTGAGTATGCAGATGATGAAAGGGCCCAACAAATCTGCAAAAAATTTCGTATTTTATTTGAAAACCAAAATACTGAAGTATATCAAAACTCTATTGGTCCAGTAATAAAGATGCTTTATTCTGTTGCAATCAATGAATCAAATCCAGTTAAGAAAAAGGTTCATCTGTTACTATATACCATCCTGCTATTCTTTCTTAGCTCTCATTTTTTATAACTATAGCCATTGCTTGTAGAAATGCAACAGACTGACAAAGGACAATTGGTTTGACGCTGAAGTAATATCCGAATCTTTATGTAGCTTTAAGAAATATTTACCTGTTGAAGATATGAAGTTTTTTTCATTACCAAAAATACATTCTAGTCAAAGTGAAAACAATATTTCGTTACTCAGGTAATTTTTTTTCCTCTATTATTTTTCATTTCAGTTATATTATTTGGAATATTTTTTAAATGTTATTAAATATCAAGAGTTTTAACCATTTTGTCTTTTGATTGATAGCAAGTTAAGATTAAATTGGTGATATTACATGTGTGATTTTGTATTAGGTATATTTAACAAAAAGAAAACTTTAACTCACTATTTTTCACTGATTTAAGAATTTTATTAAAGATATAAGGTCTTGTAGTTATAACAGCTATATGACTCAGATGTTTACGTCTTTAACCCTTTAAATACTGATGGCAGAACCAGGTGTGGAGGTTGGAATGGCAGGTATGACTAAGAGAGATGGGGATAGTCCACCTAAGTATGAAATGAAATAAGGTTCAACCTCTCCTTAACCTTGTCTCCTTGCTGACAGTAATGTTTATTTTTAATAGTTTCCTTACTCCTATTTGATGTGGTATTTAAACGAACCATTAGTGAAGTAATAAAATGGTCTTTTGTAATTTTTTTAATTTTTATTATGTATACAGTTAATAATTAAGTTTGAAAGTGAACTCAAATTGATTCGTGGAAGCTAGTAAAAATTTGGGAAAGTACTTTCCAGGTTTAATAACAGTACACCACAGGTGAATGCTCTTTTTAAGTGATTAAAGGGACCTTTCACTAGAGACATACATGTATATGTATATGTATACATGTATATTTATCATCATCGACTCAGCACAATACCTCCTCTCCGCCTCTCAATTGCCAGTATCCTTTCTTTCATCTCACGATCTGATACAAATAACGTATAATATCCGCACTCCTCCAATCCATCCTCGAACTATCACTTTCCGCCAACTGGATACCCTTACTCGAGAAAAAATATTACCTGATCTAGTAACATTGGATTTGAATGGAATATATCATTGCTCCTCTGTCGACACCATGGTTGATATTCTCACCACTAATCTTCTCAATATACTCAATACCCATGCTCCTCTCAAAACCTCCACTTTCTGTCATCGCCCTGTTCCTTGGATGTGTCAGTAAGGATCTGCAGAAGAGACACGACGCTGCACGCAGACACTTTAGACGAACTAGGCTTGCAGATGATTATCAAACATCCAGAGTGCTTCGTAACACGACACAGACAAGGATCCGACAAGCGAACTACTTTCATGAAGCCCTTTCCTCAGCTCCTGATATCAAATCAAAATGGTTTCTACTTCGTAAGTTTTCCCTCTGTGAACCTTCTAGATCCCCTTCCTCAGTTTTCCCAATATCACCTGATGACCTAAACTCCCACTTTATATTGGTTTCCACCTCTTCTTTACCCTCCCCTTCCGGCTTTTCTCCAGAGGTACCTTTTAACGACAATAATTTTTATTTTTCCGACATTTCTTCCACAGACCTTATTACCGTTATAATGAAATCCCGTTCCAATTCCGTAGGCCCAGATGGCTTTCCTATCAAACTAATAAAATTATGTCTCCCTGAAATCCTCCCAGCACTCCTTTTCATCTACAATTTCTCCCTGCAGAATTCAATGTTCCCGACCTCTTGAAAAAAGCCATTGTCCTTCCTTTAAACAAAAAGCCTAATCCATCCTCTCCCGAAGATTTCCGCCCAATATCAATCCTTTCCAATCCCCTAGAAAGGTTAGTGCAATCCCAAGTTTCCAACTTCCTTGGACAATCCAACCAACTCGATCCTCTCCAATCTGGCTTCCGTCCTGGCTACTCTACACAATCTGCTCTGATTAAAATTACCAGTGATATTCAGACTGCAATAGATGACAAAAAACTAACCATACTTATACTTCTTGATTTCTCCAAAGCTTTCGATTCAATTATCCATTCCATCATTTTCAACAAATTAAAATCATTATCCTTCTCCCATAGTTCCATCTCTTGGTTCCAGTCTTTCCTCTCACAACGAACCTAAGCAGTTTCCATACCTAATCAACCTATCTGCCTACCTTCCTTTATCCTCAGGAGTTGCACAGGGTTCAAGCATGTATCCTCTTCTTTTCAGCTCTTATATTAATGACCTAAACGATTCAATTATCCATTGTTCCCACCACCTTTATGCCGACGATTCTCAAATCTATTTATCCTTTTCTCCCACTGAGTTATTGGTGGCATTTACCAAAATTCAAGAAGATTTAGATCGAATTATTGCCTGGGCCAACTTAAATGGATTAAGGCTAAATGCTGCCAAAACTCCAAAAAAAAAAAAAAAAATTTAGGCTTTCTCATAGATCAAACCCTTTCCTGAAATCACCATATCTCTCATATATCCCGCCGTGCAATATCTACCCTCAAACTATTCCATCACTTCCGCCATCTTCTACCCCAAAATACCTGTAGACTCCTAGTTTCCTCTCTCATCTTTCCCCACTTTGACTACAGCTGTGTGGTGTACGATGGCCTCTCGGTGGAACTCTGTGATAGACTCAAAAGACTTATGAATAGCTTCGTAAGATTTGTAATTGGGACCCCGAGACGCTCCCGTTTCTCCCATCACTACACTGAGTTAGGGTGGCTCTTCCCCTCCTTAAGAAGAGAATATTTCCTAGGCACTTTCCTTTATCAAATCATTACCGATCATCATCCTTCTTATGCCTACAACCTTCTCCAATTTAAGTCCTCATTCCATTCCCTCACTACAAGATCCCGACCCTCTGACCTATACATCCCTTCTCATAGATCTGCCTCATTCCAAAATTCCTTTATAGCTCGCTCTGTCAACTTTTGGAATTCCCTCCCGATCAAAATTCGACATGCCCCTTCCCTGTACACATTCAAAAACCTCTTATTCTAATTACTGTTCCAATATTATATATTTATTGTGTAGCAATCATATAATCCTAATACTTGGTAAGAGATAGTACATGCATTTCCTACTATCGACGTAGGAATTTCAATACATACATTTTTTTTTTATTCAATTATAATTAACTGTTTATTTTTATATATATATTCAAGTAAATTTTTTTTTTTTTATGAAATGAATTCATTGTATCTCTTTTTCGTTCTTCATTTCTCAAAGTGTATGTTTATGTTGTTCAACCCTTAAATATAATTTTGTTCATAGTTCAAGTAATTCGTAATAGTTTTAATTGTTTTGTTCATAATTTTAAATGCTCTGTACATAGTTTTATCTGTATTGTATATAGCTTGTGCACCTAAGGTTTTCTTTACTTTTTATTTTATTTTATTTATTGTTTCAACGTTTAGGCCAGTAATATTCTATTATTTTGTACATTATTGTTATTCTGAAGGGACTTAGTCCCAGAATAAAGTTTTTTTTTCTATCTATCTATCTATCTATATATATATATACGAAATTTTTTATTCAAATGATAGCTTATGAGCAGGGCTTGGATTTTTATGTAGTAAAAACCCACAATTAGGAGCTGGGTAGCTGAGCTGGTGGGCACTGACTTCCAGAGCTCAAGGTCCCAGGTTCAAATCCGGCTCTAGTAATTTTTTATCAGCCGTGGATCAACATTGGACTCAGGAGAACCTAGATAGGAAGCTGCTCTGTGTTACTTCAGAGATTTTCGTTAGAGACCCTCTCAGGCTACTAGATTCCCAGGATTCTTCACAAACAACGGTTGATGAAGGGGTTTGTTAGTCACCATCCATGTTCCACTGCCGTAGAGCAGGACCAATTCTACATTGGTGTTAAACAGCTCTATTTGGTTTTTTGGACAGTTACTTGTTCTTCCATATTGTGTTGTTCATAAGTTTAATCGGTGTATTAAGATCTTTTATTGCCTAATACAGAGGCTCTCGTTGGATACTGTCACAGGCAGACCTAAAATTAACAAACTATATTAACTTATATTCTTTAAATCATAATAGAATTATGTATGTTATAATGTATTCTACATCAAAATATATTTCAGTTTAAATTGTTTAATTTAATTTAAAGAAAATGTTTATGTTTCTGATTTCAGACCTTTCCAGCCACCACCTATTTTGACATTTGATTGTAATTTTAAAAATGGAATTATCAAGCAGCAGAAACTATCTTATGATTTGGTAATTTTTTATTCCGTTTAGCAAGTTTTTGATTATTTTTTTCTTTGTATGTGTACACATATTTATGTTTTGCTTTATATAATTCTGTGATGTGTTATCCAACAAATTTTATATTGTTTATTACAATAATTTTCAGAATTTTAATTATATTACAGAAGATTATTGATCTGATTGATATATATATTTGTTTTTTAATTGAAAAATAAATTTCATTGTTAGAATATAAAATATCTTAAAACATAGAATAAGAAAACTGGTATGCAAGAGGAGCAGACTGCATTCAGGCCAGATTGACATACTTTGGAACATATTTTTTCCTGATTGGTAATCAAGAAAGCCTAGGATAGGGAACGTAGATTTCATTTGGAATGTCAATGGTGTATTCTACCAAATATCTACTATCCCAGTTGACAAGGAGCCTAAACTCTGACTGTTATAATATATTTTTTTAGTGTTGTGTTATGTGATGGAGTGCTGTCTGCCCTTGATAAACATATAAGCAAAGTTTCAGCAAAGGACATGAGGTTGCTAAGGATGATTCTTGAACATAGAATAGAAAATAACTTTTCTAATCAAAGTCCCTTAAGAATAACCATAGTGTACAGAGAACAGAGAAATAAACATTGATTCTAGCCATAAGAACTATTACAATAAAATAATTATTATCATTATAATGGTGCTACGGTCCCTCAAGAACCCGGGCCTCCTCCACTACAGCCAACCAATCTCCACAGTTTTGTGCTACTTCTCTCCATCTTTGAATGCCCCGCAGCCTCAGATCGTTCTCCAGCCATCTGATCCGAGGGCGCCCTCTACTTCTTTTGCCATCCGGCTTCTCGTGCAGCATCCTCTTTGGCATTCTTTGGTCAAGTATTCTTTCCACATGACCTAACCATCCAATTCTGACTCTTTTCATCAATGCCTCAATATTAGGTTCACCATAAAGCTCTCGCAGCTCCTCATTCTTTCTCTTCTCCAAATTCCATTCTCAAAGATTCCGCCCCATATTCTTCTCAGTACTTTTCTCTCCCAGGAATTGAGCGTGAGTTCTGAGTTTTTGGTTAAAGTCCAAGTCTCATACTCATACATAGCCACTGGCCTACTATGGTTTTATAGATGAGGATTTTGATTCTTTTAGAGAGCGATCTCAATTTCAAGTCTCTTTGCAGTGAGAAATAGCACCTATTTCCTGCATATATTCTGGCCCTTTATTTCACTCTCTGTTTTATTATTGCATGTGAGCAGGCTTCCAATATACTTGAACTGGTCAACAGACCTTAAGTTGTGATCCCTTAAAGCTATTTCCGTCTTCACTTCCCTTTACATTTTTTAACTTTTCATATATACCATCTTATTTCCATTAATTCTAAGGCCCAGTTTAGCCGCTGCTTCTTCAAATTCCTGGAAAGTTCCTGGTAATGCTGCTTGGGTTCTAGAGATAATGACGTCATCGACATATGCCAGATGTTGAGACAAGATGATTATAGATTGTAATTATCACTGTTGTGATACTTACAGAGGCCTAATGAAATACAAGTATATGTATTTGTTCTAATAATAGCCACTTCCAGAAGAAAAACAAACACAATAACAAAAAAAATAATAATAAATATAAATCTGTTCATTGTTATCTAAGAAAGAAAAGGAAAGTTATGTATAAAACAGCTTAAAGTATATTAATAATTTTATAAATAAAACACTTTAAAAAAATAATGATTCACATCTGTATTTAAAAAATATAGTAATCTATTTACCAAGAAGATTAAAAGAAGAAACTAAAAGATATAAATAGTTAAGAGTGTTTTAAAGATTAATAAAAATGAAACATCTCTATAAAAGATAAAATAAAACCTTGTTACATAGTACATAATTTGCCAGCATCTGATTGATTTGTGAAGAGGAATTGGAATAAGGGGGTTTTAAATGTGGATAAGGATGGGGGATGTTGGATATTAAGCTGAATGAAATTCCTAAAAGTGGTGGAGCAGGCAAGGGTCGAAAACCATATTGCTATGGGTGAAGTTGATTTTTGATTGACTGTTCGAGAAAATCGGAAACTTGAGATTGGGCCAAAATCTTTGGAATAAGAAGGGTTAGAAATTTTATTTAGAGGAAGAACAGTGGCTTTTTTCAAGGGATAGGAAATATTGAATTCTGTACAGATAAATTATAAATGGAAAGGAGAACTGTAAAAATTTCAGAGAGGCCTAATTTGATTAATTTGAAGAGAATGCTATCTGGACCGTAGAATCAGGATGTAATTTCATCACAATGGATATGGGATAAGTGTGTGAAATATCCAAAAAATAAAAGTCATTACTAAATGTTGTGTCAGGAGAAAAGAAGGAAGAGGTTAATGGAGAAGTGGAAGATGGGACAGATATAAAATATGAATTTAAATCATCGGATGAAACCAGAAAGACTAATGATGGAGGGAATCTGTAAGATTCACTAAGGGAGAGTATATGAAGGAGTCATTTTGGTTTAGAATCTGGAGCTGAAGGAAAGGGGATCATGGCAATAAGTGGATTTGATTCATCAAACCCTTTGTTGTGTCAAGTTGTGAAACACATTAAAAGCTTGGTAGTCATTGGCAAGTATGTCCAAAGCTTCTATGGACAGCATCATGCCTTTTCTGATGATCCTTAATTTCATGATGACCCATCCATAGTAGAGGTTTAATGGGGGGCATAGGCATCAATAACATTGAGAAGATTGAAGGTGAGAATGTTAACCATGGAATCAATGGAAGAACAAGTATATATACCATTCCAATCTAGGGATTCCAGATTGGTTACAATTGTTTCATAGGTAAGTAAAGTTCATGAAGGTTGCAGAAAGTAATGGTTCTAGGTTGAATCCGAGGAGTTTGAATATTATATTATAGGATAAAAAGGAGACTAATAACTGAGAAGAGGAAAGGAGGTTCTGAGTGATGTCGATAATGTACAGGTCCAATCAAGTATCTGAACTGAAAGGAGGTTCTGAGTGGAGTTGGTAATGTACAGTTCCAACCAAGTGTCTGACCTGAAGGTATGATGAGTGGGAGAAAAAGGAATGATGGGAAGAAAAAAAGATGTTTGAGATATGATTTATTGCTGAAGTGTGAAAAGAAATTCGGGTTCAAGCCACCAGAGATGATTATTTTGGAATTAAGGGGAATGAAGTTGAAGAGGAAATATAGTCCCTCTCTGTGACTTAAGATGAGCAAAATATATGCCTGAAAAAAAGTTTTTTTTTTTTTTATTAATTTCTTTGTACTTTTCTTTAACTTATTGTCTCTTAATTTTTATGTCAGACTGTTATTTTTAATTTTTAAATTACAACAAATTTTAGGATGAAGGATTTGTTACTCCGAGTGACGAACATAAAGAAAGGAGTCCTTCCTTGGATCAAAAAATTACCATCCCAACTTCAAAATCAACAACACCATTGTAAGTATATTTATATTTGTTTACAAAGTGATTACTCAACATCTTTGTTTTGCCTTGGAAAATAAAAAGTATGAATATGCTTCGATTGTATTTCAATGTGGCAACTGAAACTGAGTTATTTACCAAATATCTTCAGAAGCAATGAAGTGTTAACACTTTTATCAAACTATTGTATAAAAGGATAGCCCACTTTTCATTCGTAACCTCTAATTGCAAAAACTACTGGACCGATTCACTCTTTATTTTTTAAATGGTCTCTGCTGTCTCGAGGTTTTAAGTTGATCTGCTCAGTAGAGAGATAGCTGAACATATTTGTAACCATTTTTAGAGAGTTTGTTAAGAATACTAAATAATGTCTAATCCTAATTATACATTATTTTTTAGGTTTCATTTGGATGTTATTAAAATTGTCATTGAAATATTGGTAATCCCTCTAATGCAGCCAAGAAAACAGCAATAAGAAAGAAATAGTAGAAACAGAAACAGCACAACAAAATATAAGAATATGTATATATATGTACCAGGTGTGTAAATATGAAACCAGAATTCATCCATTGATGGCTCTAGTTGTTAATGTAGTTACTGTTAAACCGCATTATATGCCTCATTTTGTTTCTTTGACAGCTGGTAAATATTTTTAACTCACAATATAAGGTTCACAGAGAATGGGGTAGCTCAGTGGATGAGCACTGACTTCCAGAGCTCAAGGTCCCAGATTCGAATCCGGCTGATGACTAGTAATTTTTCATCAGCCATGGATCGACCCTGTGGCCGGGAGACCCTTCTGAAGCAAACCCAGCCTCTATAAAGTGCGTACTCTTAATTAAGGAGAAAAAGAAAAATCCTGGCAGTTGAGCATGATATCGGCCCAATCACCTCCCTGCACAACCGCTGGCCTTGTAACAGTACATTCTGACATTGTACAGAGCCCGTTACAGGTTTTTTTTTTTGGTTTTTTAACACATGTTTCATATAACAGCATCATTTTAATAATATTATTGAACATGTTGAGTTTTGTGCCAACAAACTATGATTCGTGCATCAATTTTATGTTACCACTTAAAGAAAATGCTGCAGGATTGCATTGAATTCTTTTCGAAAGTTGCTCTTGGTAAATCACATTACTTTGAGTGGTTTAAAAGTGGCAATTTTGACATGAGAAATGATTAATATGTGTGTGATCTATTATGAGCTTCTAAAACCTGGTGATACCCTTAATTCTAAATGCTATTGAAGAGAAATGATCGATTTAAATCAAGTATTGTGTGAGAACTGACCAGAATATCAACAAAGGCAACACAAAATGATTTTACACCATGTTGAAGTACCATTACACACAAAAAAATCAGTGAAGGAAACAACTGAGGCGTTTAGTAAAGATATATTAGCGCATGCGGCTCATTCACCAGACTGAGCTCCGACTACTATTATTTGTACAAATGTGGCAGGCACTTGCTTCACCCTTTATTAAAATGTTTTGATGACTACTTATAAGAGTAAATTTTTCTGGAATGATATTCACAAATAGCCAGAAAGGGAAAATGTATAGCTAGTGATGGACATTTTGAATAAAATATTTTTGAAAATTTTTATGCAATAAACTTCTATTTTCTTTACAAAAATTCTGGTTTCATATTTCCACTCCTAGGTTTCATATTCCATTATAAGGGATTGCCCATTTTTCATTTGTAACTACTAATCACCAAGACTTATGTCCAAAGTATTACCAATTGATTTTTTTTTATCGCCTATTAATATATAAAGCTCAAGAGTTTGTCTATTTGAATGCGCTGATTGTGGAAATTACCAGTCTGATTTGAAAAATTCTGTATTAGATAGATTGTTCCCTGAGGAAGGCTTTATGTTCTTTAATGTATTATATACTCAAACCTCACTATATTGAACTACCATAGATCAAAAATTTTTATATGGTGTTGAGTTTTTGAACGAAGTTCTAATTTGAGAAGAAGTTAGTCGGGGGGGAGGTGCGGTCAGTACATAAAATATTATGTTATGTAATAATAGTTTTTAATTGAATTTTCCAATGTTTTGACATAAACAACATAAAATAAATCAGACTAAAATAAAATATTTGTTATCTTATGACATGCACAATTATTTTATCTAATAAGCTGTACTATTTTAATATCAACATATATTTTATTTATCATTTATTGTATCTTGTACCAATTAACATTTATTGTTTGTATCTTTTTTAGCCCTGAAGAAGATTTGCAACATAGTTCGAAACATTGGAAAATTCAATAAAAAAATACTATTATATAATATAGTATTTTATATATTGACCGCACTTTGACTAACTTCTTTTCAAATATATATATCATGTTTTTTTTTTTATGAACCTTTTTAGAGCAGAAAATATTCTGTATATCAAATGAAATTTTTGTATACCGATCAAAAAATCATTAACAAAGATATAAAATGTAATTGTCGTCAAAAAGAGCTTAAGTTTATTTTCATAAGAATGGAAAATTGAATCAAAACCAAATATTTTCACAGTGCACAAAAACTGTGATTCAGAACATTTGAAAATTTTGAAGATCAGAAACGATTTAATTTTATAAATTATTTTGATTAAATTTATAAAGAGATATTGAAATTAAATTGCCTTTGGTCCTGCTGTAAACCAAAAAAAATAATTGTGTAATTATTTCTGTTGCCTTGTCTAAAATATAATGCAGGATTTGGGTTTAAAAAGAAAAAAACAAAACAAATTTACTACTGTTTTATTTAATCAAAATAGTCCCCTCTACTATCAGTTCATTTGTTGGCAACTTTTTCATTCCCTCGGAATAGAATTTCCCATTTTTAGAATTGGTAAACTCCAAAAACGCATTTTCTAAGCGAAATTGCATATTTAAGGTTTTTATATGCTAGGGATGTTACAGCAACTTTTTCATCAAAATCGGCCAACGGAAAGTGACACTTTATATCGTGGACTTAATGCATTTTTACGATTTTCTCGAAAAAGGCTCTTAACGATTTTGATTAATATCATTATCAGTGTAAAATTAAGCAGTTTTAAATAAAATATAGGTTCAATTCTGATTAATTTTTTCTAACAGGGCTTAAATGGCTAATTTTCAATATTAGATTCCTCTAAAGTACCTGTAATTATTTTTATTTGAAACAATTGACCATTTCACATTGATTTCTAATATTAATATAAAAGATAGTTAAATACTAGATATGAAAGAATTTGATAATTAACTAAAGGATAAATAAGAGATCGTAACGGAGAATAGTTGTAATTGAGGAACCAAAGCAATACGAGCGAGCCCTTGATCGTCCGAAAAATTAGAACAGTTCTCCTTAAGTAACATGAGCATATGCAAATATACATATGCGGTTTTCATAAATGCTGTTGTTGATATTATTTAATATTTAATTGTATAGATTACAGCGATATAAATATTAAAATTTTTACATATAAGGGTGGGTACTTATATAAATAAAAATACCCATAAACAAATACAGCATCTATAATTTTTACTTTCTCTTCCCCTTTGTCTGAAATAATTATTTCTGCCAAGAAGAGGGTGGTAACTGAAAGTTGTGTGATGCTTGCACCGCACCGGATTTTTACCTTTCCAATCGCCTTGAGGTGGTCAATGGTAGATTTGCTAAGGTGAAGTTTTCCTGCAAGTTCTCGAACAGTTTTTCTAAGATTTTCTTCCACCTCGATGTTTCTAACCATCTGGGCCCCATTCCGGCCAAGTTTAAACTCGTAAAACAAAATTATACAAAATTCATGCATTGACATCTTAGTCAAGATTGAATTATTTCTAATCAGCGAAATGCTACTGAGGTAAAAAACATCATTTGGAAGAGGATTAATAATTGTTAACATTCAAATGAATAATGGCACCAAACATAAACAGCTTTGTTATATAAAAGGGTATTTTAAACACTGTTTTCCGTACAACCCAATAATATGACAATGATGAAAAATTGCAGTCTTTTTATGTATAGATGTTTTTTTACCTGAAACCTTTGTTTGATATGTAGAGGTTAGACTAGTTTTATATTACCCAATCAAAGGAAATTGGCTTTGGAAAAAAAATTAAAATGTTTACAAGTAATTTTATTGAATTAATAAGTATTATGATATTACAATTAAGTATTATGACAACTGGGATGTTTTTTTATTCTAGCTTTATAAATTTTAATGACTATTTACTTTTATAGAATACACTGTTTTGAAGATAGTAATTATGATCATCTTTTAGTGATTGGGACTTGAAAGTAGTTGGTGTTCCTCCTAGAAAAGATAAATCGTGGGAGAAGTTGGATCTTGTTGGAAGAAATAAGGAGCATCCTTTTATTCCGAGGCAAGTCCATTTGCAGCATTGGTTATCTAAAGCTCCACACTCAATTACTAAGATTTCCCGAAACCAATTAATAGAAGATTTAATGAGTCTTTTGATTGGAGTACCTTCAACAACATTTTCATTTGTAAGATTTTAAGTTTTGTTTTTATTAAATTTTTTATTAATATTCAATTTAATAATTATTAATGTTTCTGATAATAGTCCACCACCAACCAGCTGTTCACTTTAAGACAGATCCTTGAGAAGATCGATGAATTTAACACCTATTTACACATTCTCTTCATTATGTGGTGCCAAAAATTATCTATAGAAATGTAGGAACTTGGAATACCCCCTAAATTGATAAGATTGATCAATCAGAGTGACTATGACGAGTGCCAGCTTCCTCAAGTAAGAGTGCAAGGAGACCTGTCAAAGAAGTAAAGAGATATTCGAGCATGTTCTCTGTTTAATGTGGCAGTGGTTCTCTGTTTAAAAAGCATAGGCAGCAATGCTAATATACAAACAACAAGCTCTTTATATATCAAAAGTGTGCAACTGCTAGTTTACGTACATTACAGGAAGATCCTTGATGACTATGACAAATAGTAGTGAAGATGGAAATATCAGTAAAGATAGGACTTGAAGTCAACAAAGACAAGACCAAGTATATGTCAACTGACAACCATCAAACTGATCCAACCATCCAAGTTGGTTGGCTCAACTTCAAACAAAAAATTTGATAGATTCAAATTCTTAGATCAGTAGCGATGCGGATAATTACATGAACCAGGAGGCAACATAAAGATTTGTTACCACAAAAACATGTTATCATATCATATATGTCTCCTAAAGTATATGAAAAGTAGTAAACCATGATCTATAAAGTTGCTCCTGTACTCATTTGACCATTTCTGAAACATAGGCAACGATGAAGAATAGGAAAAGAAAACTACTAGTTTTGAAAACAAAGATACTCTGAAAGATATATGGCTCAGTCAAGGAGGGTAGTTAATGGAGAATAAAAAATAATAACGATTTGCCCAACTTTATCTCATTTACCACATCTGACTCCTGCTATAAATTGGATGTGGTAAAGGATATTCAGATAGCAAGAATCTGATAAAAAGGCCGCATTGTGTGAATGAAAATCCCATTAGAAGTTGCTCAATATGTAATCAGGTGGTAAAAGAAAAGTTATAAGATTGGAACTGATTTGAATAGATTGAGTCTATCAGGACTTGATTAGTGGGTGCCCGGAACGGAGAAGAATAGAAGGTGACTCTTAAAGTAGCCAAGATCCATTAGTGGATTCTAGAGTTCAGGATGAATGATTTTATTTATTAAATGACTTAAATATATCATATATTATTACTTGATGTATTATATGTCATAGAAACATATATATCTTGGTCAGTCATGAAAAGCTGTCTCCACTTTTCAACTCTATATGCGTTCCCCTCTCCCCCCTCCCCTAGTTTAGCCTTTGATAACTGGCCAAGATATAGAATATGCATACAATGTATTTGTAATTTATATACTATATAGATATATATATATTTTTTTTATATATGAATTTATACTGTAATATATGTATAGTTTATACATTTTTAATTATTATTTGTTTCTTAGAATGGAAAAACTTTTATATGTAAACCTGGCATATATACTGATCATCTTACTGCTGAAGATGTTCTAATGTTAAGTAAACAATATATTGAAGCAGCAGAAGCATTTTTGGATCTGAAAAATCTAGCTGAAAAGAATTTAAGTGATGATATTATTACCAGGGCTTTCAAACTTTCTTTAAAAAAGTATTTATACAATTACCAATTGATAATTTACCATATCATCGATGGAAGGAGTAACAATAAAACATATCTCAGTGATATTCAATTGTTAATTGAACAGGTTTGTATTTATAGAATACTAAAATTTTATTGTTGTACAGTAGATCTTTGATTAGCTGTTTAACTTAGGGTAATGGAACATAGGGTAGGGTAGGGATTTTAGGGTGATAAATTGCAATATTATCATGCCCGCAAGGAGAACGGATGTATATGTATACATAAAATTGAAGTTAATGTCCTCATATTAATCTTATCGCTGACTTGTTGGAACTGCATGGGAATCTGGTGCCAAAACTTGTATAATGTAACAGATTATTCTACCCTCATTTATTTGTTGTCATTCATTAAATTTTAACAAGAATGAAATTAACTAGAAATATGTTTTGAGTTTCCAATAAAACTATTTAATGGAATGATGTTCGTTAAATGTATTAGTAGCATAGACAGGTTCTAAAACAATTCCTTTTTTTTTTTTTTTTTTTGGTTCTTGCCTTTTTGGCTATACAGGTTTTTCCTGAGGCAAGAGAGAGGGTGGAGGATTGATTTAATACCAGAATTGAAAGCCTCATTCTCTCTGGCACCAGCATGGGAACTCATATATATATATATATATATATATATATATATATATATATATATATATATATATAATTATTTGATCATATTATCTTCTGTTTATCTTTGCCAGGCAAGACATGTTTTGCAATCATTAGCCTACTCAGCCACCCTATTCCCATAAGCAATGTCAGGGTATTAACAATATTATCAAGAAAGTCTATTCAATACACACAATTTGTGTTTATTTTTATTTAAAATATCAAAAAGTTTGTTTCTATATTATCCGACGTATATAAGGGATCTTTGGGCTATTCTCCTTTGTTCACCTTTCTAGTTAATTTTTAGTTTTATCATAAATAACTTATAAATACCGGTATTTAAACTTTGGAAAATCTAAACAATGTGTGATAAATATCTTATAATTAAAGTCGTCTAGGCTACGATTTCTAGAACTTGAAAGAGCACATACATTATCTCAAAAACTGTCAATTTTGGGGGGTTAAAAACGAAGGCTCTAGTGTATTCCAGAGGAAATCAGCCCAAAAGCTTTTTTTTAACATATATGTAAAACGATTATTACTTTGGAAAGTCTTAAATGGTGTTTAAGTGATTCTTGAAGTCGTATTAAATGTAATTACATTAACAATAATACTTTTTTAGATAATTTTTTAATGTTATTTCATAAGACATGGTTATATTTTACAATTTTGGGGGGGGGGGGGGCTAGAGTCGAAAGCCTCCCTCCTCTCCTGGGTGATATACCATAGCTGTGAGGCGTGTTACAAAAAGGTTTGGCTACCCTGATTTAAAATAAAAACCTTTCCAAATTTAAATAATAATAAACCTGGAATTTAGTTTCATCTCCTTAACCTGGCTAACTTAAGTCATGCTAATCAAAGTTCTACTGTGTTTTTTAAATATAATGTATTAATTAAAGAAAGTTTTAGGTAATATATTTGAAAAAAATCTTGGTTCAGCCTGAAGAATTAAAGGGTGTTGCTCTCCTCGAACAACTTTTTAGTAATATGGAAACAAGTTCTACCCAGATGTTTTACTTGCTTACTTCTCTTTTTCTGCAGCCTTGTGTGTATTATTTTAGGTATTTTTTTAATTTTTTTTTTTTAGTTAAATTGAGTTTCAAGTAACTTTAATTTTTAAAAAATTAAAATTAACTGTTTGTTAAGTTTACTATTATTCTTACTTTGATGACTCAACAAATTTAACGTAGTATACCCATAGATCTTAAAAAGAACTGGATTATTCTCTGAGAGTGCAGAAAACAGTCAGGATTTTCCCACCACCTAAGGCTAAAAAAACTGCTTTGCACAGGCAGTCTTCATTTGTCTTACGGCCAATGCAGAATGCGGCATTTGTCATAAGACAAACTCTTACAGTTTGGTTGGGACTTTCTACCTTATCATCATCCTTCTAGCTTGCTGCATCCGATTATTACTTGTTTCTTTCATTAAAAATTCTTTCCACGATAAATGTCACAAATCTGAAAGCAAAATAAAAACATACCTTGATGAATATTTGGCAAGTAAGTTTCAACAACTTTGAAAAAGGGTTGAAGAGGCTTCCTGAGAGATGAAAGAAGATAATACAACAGAATGGTTCATATCTAACAAAGTAAATCAATATTAAACAACAAATAATGAAAAGGAAAGGATCTTAAGTGGCACCCTCATATTTATATAATATAACTTATAATTACTAGAAGTATTTAAAAAGAAAATAAGACCTGCAAAAAAGTTAATATATATATAATATATAATAGACTATGGTTCAATTCCCTACAGAAAAATGGGGAATTAAAGTTTCTAAGGAAGCCATGGTTTTTGTTAAATAAGAAGTGATTACTAAAAAATGATTTAATTTTGATGATTATCAATTGCAATATAGTAAACTGGGGAAGGCAGATGTACTTCTAATAGAAGTAGAATTTGTCTTTTTTAATGTTGCTTTTAATTGGCTAAACTTTCTTTTTCTTAAAATCATGGATTATTACCATTTAAGGATAAATTGATTAGTAAAGTAATAGATAAATTGTATTATTTATTAAATTGTTTATAGATTAATAGACGATTGGATTTTCCTTGGTAAATGGCATAAAGATTTACCAATCTCACAGAGTGACTTCAGTCTTATTGCCGATAGACAAAGCTGGGAAGAGGCGTATAAGCCTATTCAATGCAATTTTCTTTGGTTTATCCCAGTTCAAGATTTAGCATATTGTGGAAAAGCTTTGTCTTTACTCAGTCTCTCAAAAAATAGTGTAAGTATTTTCTTATTACAAAAATTGACAAATTGGACATTGAATTAGAAATATATTTACTAATGCCATTTTTTGATTAAACATTAATTGAAATTTATTATTGGAATAAAAACTGACTATTTATCCAAAATTATTGCTAATGACATAAAAAAATCAGAACTATATTATATAAAAAGTGTTATATTCATAAATCACATTGTTTAATATTTTATTTTTGTTGTTAGGAAATGTTTTTAAAAATGCTGAAATCAGATGACAAACCTAGAGTTAAGGTTTGTTTACATCTCGGAGAATTAAAAAAGTTGCAAGTGGAATGTGATCATTTTTATGAAAGAGCAAAAACTTCTTTTCATTCACAGAAAGAAGAAAAATTAGACTTAATTTTATGTGCTCGTGATTCAGCAAAGATGAAAGCTCAAACTTTTGAAGGTATAAATATTATTTTTAAGAATCATTCCACAGTTTTTTTATTGTGTTACAAATATATTTTACAAATTATCTAATGATAGCACTTCAGTGACAGCTTTATATAAGAAAGTTATATGGTCATTTTCTATTACTTGACAATTATCATTTCTTGTGTCAGTCAAAATGATCTATGTTCAACTTCAGGTCTGCTCACTTATACTCAGTCCACAATCTGCTCCAGTATAATAATATTGTACATGCACATTAGGTCACACTGTGTGTATTTTCTGCATCTAGTATTATTTGATTATAGATAGTGCGTAGTGGGAGTAGTAGATAGTGCATAATTATAAATATTTTGGTTGACTTTACTTATTAACATGAGAGAACTTGTTGTTCTAATTCATAGTAATCCAATATTAGTTTCTCCTACTTTCAGCTGTAACCTTTCTCCATAGAATTTGAAACAGGCCCTTTTCTCTATTATTTGCAATGAACTGTTTATTGTTTTCTGATTTTTTATTTCCTTTATTTTACATTAAAAAATTTCACCCTTTTTTTTAATATTTACCTGAGGCTTTGTATGTTGAGTTTTCTTCATTTACGGCTGATTCATGATTTGAGTGAAAAAAAATAATATTTTTAATGCTATTTGTTTTTCTTTACCCATGCCTGGCCATATCTGGCATGATGGGTGGAAGTTTAGTTTAATTTGTAATGACTTAACGCGTTTTACAAAATACCAACATTTTATCATATTTTTTTTCTTGGAAAAATATCATAAATTATGGGAAAAAACTGACAATGTAAGAGGATTTAGTTGTAGAAAAACATTGAACACCCTGGTCTCATTAAGAGAGAAATATTTTATCTACTTGAGACCAGTCTCGGTTTCAACTAAGTTTAGGTTAACTCAGTTCAAACTGTGAGTAACAGTTCAACTCTTTTTTTTGTTGGATTAAGGTTAAAAGTTAACCAAGATTTAGATACCTGATATAGAATATATCTAAAAAAATTGTCATTCAATCTTCAAATGATTGATTCGCTCAAGGGCAAAATACTTTTTTCTCCAATAGTGAATGCCCGACTAATTTGATTATCATTACGTTCTCTGTCAAGTCCTTAATATCAATCAATTTCTTATTTTTTTAAATAAAAAAGTTCAGTAAATACTAGTACTGGACAAGCTATTGCAGGCAAAACAGTGAAAGGTTACTCATATGGTCACTTAGTAATCTCAGTCATACTCATAAAGTAAAGTAAAATGGCCATGGTTGACCAATAAAGTTTTAACTTTTTTTTTTTTACAATTAAGGCAAAGAAACTTCCAATTTTCTTCACATCCCTTTATTCACATTTATCACCGATTCTTATATTCACTGAAGTTTTAACTTGATCTTAAGGTTGAACTTAATAGGTGCTATGGTGAATAATCGATCTGAACTGAGATAATAGTAAACCCAGTCAAAATTCAGTAAACAAACCCTAGGAGCTTGCAAGTCAATATAGCTGCCTGGTATTTTTACCTTTTTTTCTGTTGTTAACTTCTTTAAAAAAAGTTGATGTTCAAAAAGTGTCTTATTCTTTACAAGTTTGGTTTTCTAGGTTCCGATCGATTTATCATCTTTATAATAAATTTTGTATTCAAGAATATCAGGTAAGGTTGTTATATTTGATTCACGTCTCATTTATGATTTTATATCTTGAAGTTTTTTAAATGAAAAATTATAATTTTTTGTCCTCTTTAGAATTAAAAAAAGAAAAAATGGATAATGAAAAAGAAAGGAAAAGAAAAGAGCTGAATTTAAGGAAAGAAGACCTAATTAGAAGTGCTATGGTGAGAGAACTTAAAAAACAAGAAGAAGAATTAGACAACATTAGAGTGGCAAAAGAGGTTGAAGATATGCTTCTAAAAGAAGAGAAAATAGAATTTGAAAAAGCGTAAGTTAAAAAAAAAGTGACAAAAACGGATAATCAAACTGGATTGTAACTTGATATTAAAACATGATTTTTTTTTTTCAGGAAAGGAATATTCAGTTTATTAAAACAGCAGCAAGCTGAAGAAGAGAGAAAAGATCTTAAGACCGAATGGAAGTTAAAAAGGCATCAAAATATTGAAAAAAGGCAGGAATTTTTCAGTGATAATATACTTGTGAGTGATAACTTGATCCATGTAGAAGATGAATCTAAGGAGTCAGACATAGATAAGAAACTTGAAACTGAGCTAAAAAAAGATTGCAAAGAAAACACAGTTCAAGTTCCAGATAAATCTATTATCCTTGAAAATTCTGACAAAATTCAAGAGAAAAAAGACCAAATTAGTGACCATAATGAAGTTGAATATAAAATTATTACTGCTTGTGATATAGTAAAACATACAGAATTAGAGGAAAACAGATTAAAAGTTTTAGGTTCAAACTTCATTGTTGGTAAAGATCTCCCAATACGTATATCTGGGAAAGAGGAGAAAAACAATGATAGAATTGTTTGCCCTTCAAAAGTTCCGAATCTTATTGAAACAACACCAGCTGCAAAAGATGATAACATAAAATATTCAGAGTTAGTGGATAACAGATTAAAAGTTTTAGGTTCAAACTTTGTTGTTGGTGATCTCCCAATATGTACATCTGAGAAAGAGGACGAAAAAAACAATGTAATTTCTTGCCCTTCAAAAGTTCTGAATCTTGTAGAAACAACACCAGCTGCTAAAGATGATGACATGAAATATCCAGAGTTAGTGGATAACAGATTTAAAGTTTTAGGTTCAAACTTTATTGTTGGTGATGTCCCAATATGTACATCTGAGAAAGAGAAGAAAAAAAATGATATAATTGCTTGCCCTTCAGAAATTCTTAATCTTGCTGAAACGACACCAACTGCAAAAGGTGAAGACATAAAATATTCGGAGTTAGTGGATAACAGATTAAAAGTTTTAGGTTCAAACTTTGTTGTTGGTGATCTCCCAATATGTACATCTGAGAAAGAGGACGAAAAAAACAATGTAATTTTTTGCCCTTCAGAAGTTCTTGTAGAAACAACACCAGCTGCTAAAGATGATGACATGAAATATCCAGAGTTAGTGGATAACAGATTAAAAGTTTTAGGCTCAAACTTCAGTGTTGGTGATGATGCTCCATATTGTATACCTGTAAAAGATGAAATTGTTTTTCCTTCAAACGTTCTGAATCCTGTTGAAACAACAACATCCACAAAAGATAATGATTTGCAATATTCTGAGATGGAAATGAATAGAATGAAAGCACTCCATTCTGATTTTGAAAGAGGGAACGAAGCTGTGCTTCTTGTTTATCAAGATGAAGCCGGAAAAAACAAACAGAAAATACTTGGATCACATTTTACATTAGGATCGGATATTGTGGTTAAAAAAATCAAAAATGATGACATTGAAATTTCTAAAACCAATGAAAATAATAATAAGGAAGAAATTAGTAAAGATACAATAAAGTCGGCTAAAAAGGGGGAAATGATCGAATCAAAAAAATGTAATGAAAATATTCCTCAACATTCATTGGATTCAGAAAATATAAGGCAAGTTAACATTAGGAGAAAGAGTGATTGTTCAAATATAAATATGCTTCCTGTTATTGAAGAGCAAAGTAACATCGTTTGCAACGAAATTGGTGATGAGCCTGAAGTTACTTCTGAACATATTGGAGTCAATGGTGTAAGTTGGTTCCAGAAGTGTAACCAACATGTAGAAGGAGTAAAAAATCTTTTTAAAGCTAATGAATTAATTAATCTTCCAGAACAACAGTTAGATTATTATTCCATACTTAGGTGTGTTCCTGGTTCATTAAATTTAGTTTTAGAAACCCAACTGAAATTGGTCAATGAAGCACTCCTAGAAATGTTTCTTAACGAATTGCAGCTACTAACTGAAGCTGGAAAACTAAAGAAATATTTTTTTCTTGACGAAGAATTTGGTAAAAGATTGACATGCTCACTTTGCCCTGCTATTGAAAAAGAAAAACCTTTAACGCTGTTAACATTTGGAAGGCTCAGAGATGTCCTTGCTTTTGCATCCCAAGGTGATGAAAAATTATCATTTATGGTTAAAGAAACCCCAGTTGCATTTGAACATACCAATCCTCAGGTAATGTAACTATTTTAAATCCCTCTGTTCCCAGAATATTATGTTTTTGTGAGACCTATTTATCAATAAAGTGTGTGCTCAGCTTTCCTAAAAATTATAGTTAGCTGTGCTGTTCTTGATATTTACAATGATGATTACTTTGGTTCTTGATATATTGTATTCTATGTTTAAAAAGATTTATAAGGTTCGAGCTGAAGAAGGATTCCTCATCCTATCAAAATTATAATAATTAACCCTTTAGATGCGTTAAGGCAATATAATGGCTCAGACCGACTGTGACACCAGTGCACAGAGCCAATATATTGGCTTCAGCTTTTTATGATTTAGTTGCACAAAACCAATACTCCGGCTCGTTACAGAGCTCTCTAATGGGTACCCCATGAGTCATAGGTTGTTGCTGGAACTATATAGTGTGAGATTTATTATTTAGTTGTGGGTATCCTTTAGGGCAAGGGGTCTAATCTTAGCCCTTCCTATACCTGCTTCCACCCCTTAATCACCTTTCTCTAGTGTTTTGAGCACAGTTTAGCTCTAAAACCAACAGCAGTTGGTAGTGTTTTGAAGTGTAAAGTTGAAAATGAGGATTACATTTTTTTTTTTAATTTAAATTTTTTTTATCAAAAGTATAATTTGTTTTTTAAATCGATATATATCATACATTGAAACGTTTTTTAAATGGGTTCAGGGTTATATCTAGGTTATGGATCATCATTATATCTAGGTTATGGATTCTGTGTTCTAACTTACAACTATAGGTTACATCTTACCTTCATGAATGAACCAACTTTTCTGCTTAATTTTTTTAAGTAGAGATCTGGAGAAAAAGCACAACTCAAATTGGAGGTTATCCAAATAACCTCAAGATAATTACAAACTAAAGAACTCTATTATATATACTTTGAATATTAAATTTTTAAAAAAATGTTTCTTTTTTAAAAATAAAATTATCAAGAAACATCTGACTGCATCCCATGTCATTAAAACAGAGGATGTAATATTCTTCTTGATTTGTTTACTTATATACATGCTTTAATGTTAAATGGAATTGATAACATAGAGGTTCTTACAAACGTCCTTAAAATATGAGACTAAAATACAGTAGTAGTTATTTCATCTTTAGTATTATCTATAATTTATTTTGCATCCTTTTCTCTGTATGCTACAGAATAACGAAATTGAAGTTTTTAAAATCTATGCAATACAATCCTTTTTTTTTTTTTTAAATTTAATGTTTGACATCTTGTTCATAAATCTGTTGTTGCCATCTAGATTAATCATCTTCATGAAAATCATCAATTATATTGTAGAGCTTGAAATTAAAACCATTTTATAGTATCTTGAAATTAATCTTAATAACTAAATGTAAACAGATCATTTTAAGAAATTCCCTTCTTTTCTTTCAGGCTTTATCATGCTTGGGATTGTCTTACAAATTTACTTGGCCATTGAACTTAATATTTACTGACATAGCCATGTCGAAGTATAATGATGTCTTTGAATACATGCTCTCTCTTCAAAGGGTTTCGTGGCATTTAGACCAAGTTTGGCTCTTATTGAAGTTCAGATCATCTCAAATGAATGGACATGAATACACTCAGGTATCACAATCTAATGGAATATTATTATTACTAATTTATTTATTTTTTTCTGTTTCTCTTCTACTCGTACCATGAACTAGATTATATAAAAATAAAATTGTTGAAAAAATTTTGCAGGATCTGATTTCTCGAGTGTTAAAAAGTATCGAAATAACATTAATTAAATCATTTTGGTTTTATATATTAATATATATAATTTAGTTTTATCTTGTGATAAAGGAAAGGTAGATGACAGAAAACATTTGTATTGAAAATGTATAAAACTTTTTGTTTCTAAAATATGTGCAAGAACATAAATTAAAAAAAAAAGGGTATTTTTAACTGTAGCTGTTCTCTAATCTAATGAATGAGTTTAACATTATCATAATTAGGCTTTTTTGTTAACACAGCCATCTTTAGTCTTGAAATTAGCATATGTCGGGTATTTGTATTAAAATGAAATTCCATACTAACAATCATAATAAAATAATAATTTTAAAAATACAAAACTGAAAAGAATCCGTGAGTTTCATTTTTGGAACAAGATAGCACATCCTCCTTTTTATCGCCCTACCTAATCTATTTCTGAGAAACGCATTCAGAGCTGTATTTTGTTGGGTCATATTTGTATCCGACTGAGAAGCAAAGTATAATGGGGAAAAATACGCAGTGTGGCCTTGTGAACTTTTATCCTCTTTTCGCCATTTTGCTTAATTGCTCAACATGTGAAAAGTGAAGTTTGATTTAAAATGTAAAATTAATCACAATCAATAAAAAAATGAAGCTCTAGTCTTCTTCACAGATAACTGGTTCTATTATTGTGGCTTACATCTGCAGTAATATTATTAACTTCTGTTTAATCATTCGCATAGACCCGTAAGACGGATAGTGCATTCATGAAACTATATTTATGTTTTCTTATCACCACTGAACATTTTTATCCCTTGTAACATGCTAAATGCTATGGGCGCCCCTACATGCTAATATATATATAAACAGATAAATATTTAATAATATAATAGAAAAGAAATACTATTTTAAAAGCATATCCCTTGAGAATAACAGAGATGTACATATTACAAAATACATAGCACAGTAAGTTATCTTTTTGCTATTAATTTTTTTTATAAATTGCAGATTCAGTTATATAGACATATTATGTCACAGTTTGTTTGCTCTTTGCAATGGTATATTTGTACCACTGTTTTTGAAAACTGTTGGCAAAAATTCAACAGAGAAGTCTTGGAAGTCACTAATTTCCAGGAAGTTTATCGAAAACATGCTGCGTATCTTAAAGAAGTTATTTTTAAGTAAATCTATTAATTTTGTTATTATTATTATACCTTGATTACTACTTTTTGTCACACTAATCTTTATTTGTAATGATAATAGGTGTTTCTTAAATGAGAAATCAAGTGGATTGATGAAGAGAATGCAGAGCCTTCTTAAGTATGTTTTAATTTTCTGTCAAGTTATGAGGTTTGGTGAATGGTCAATATCAGAAACTGGAGACTATCAGCATTGTAATTTTGTGAAACTTCAGAATACATTCTCTTCTTTCATAAAGCTAGCAAGGTATATTGTTCGACAAATTGAAAAATTGGTCAAAATCAACTATCAAGAAGGTTTGGTCAACTTGTACAATCTGTTGACTATTAATTCATTCTATTTGGCATAGATCAGTCAGTCAATATCATTTCAGAATTATGTATGTTCTGTATGTCAACATAATTGTTTCCGATATCAATATCAAGATTTTTATTGTAAATACTGTTATGTTTAATAAATTATTATATTTTGTTAATAAATGTTGAGTGAGAATGGCCTTTTCTGAGTAATAAAAAAGAACACTGCCTCCAAGTAACATCATCCACAAGTAAAAAGATTTTATCAAGTTGCTATTTGAATAATTTAATTTAGTTCAAAATTAATAATGGTGGCATGAAACCTGAAGAAGCAAAGAATGAAGCAGATATTTATTTCGGAAGAAAAAAAATATGTATTTCGGGAGAAAAAAAAAAATATTTCGGATTAAACATAAACTTAGCTAAGATATTGGTGAGGGGTTTTTACTGTTACTATGATGTAACGACTCCACCTATCTATGGGCTATGTTTACTCAAAGGATCTTTTTGAAATTTCAAATGAAATATTCCTTTTTATCCTTCCCTATTGGCTCTCGTTCCTTGGATTTTTTTTCTTTACAGTTCAGCATTTGCTTTTTGTCCAGAACATGTAGAATGTTATTATTTTCATCTGACATTAAAAAACAAACCATTGCTTGCAGTATACTATTGTTTGCTTTATCGTAATGATCCTAACTTCGAACTTCTACAGGAATGATTACCAACGAACACATTAAAATAAAGTTTTATTCTCATTGCATTATGAGGGCATAGAAATTGTGGAACAGAACTTTCTCTGATTATGCAGAACCCAAACGCACAGAAACTTAATGCTGAATTGAAATAAAACATTCAATTTGTAGGGAAAATTAAAATATCATTTTAAGCAGTGTTATACCATAATTGCACCAGCATGGATCATGGATTTTGCAAAATCTACAATTTTGGTTACATCAATTTTTGTCATATTTCTATTAGATATACCTCGGATAGAATCATATTTTATACATCAAGAAAATGTTTTTTGGTTTTCCTTATATATTTTACTTGTTTTTCACACCCAATAGATACAGACTGTCAACAAACTTAGTGAGCCTACCTAAATCTATAAGATTTACACATTTGGTCCAATGACTTTTTCGACATATCATCGGTATATAATAACTTACATGTAGCAAGATTTTAAGACCTAGGCAAAACTTTTTTTTTTTAATTTGAATTCATAACTCTAAACCTGTATTTCCTAGCAAAAATTCTTTGTTTTGAAACTTAAAGAGTATTAAATTATGCATTAAGAGTGCATAACATTTCAATTCTATTTCAGGATTATCGTCGGAACATGAAAATTTTTACAAACTTTTTCGAGATATCCTTATAAAAGTATACAGTATGAAAACAGCTGTTATAAATTTTGAATTAAAGCAGCAAAGCATCATTTGTGTACACAGAATTTTTTTCAGTTTGAACAAACTTAATAACAAGTTATTAGTTGAATACAACTAATAATGAAAAATATAATGAGTAATACACAAACTGAATGTTTATGAAAAAGGAATGATAGTACAAAATATGTACATATTAGATAACAATTTTCTTTAATTGTAACAGAGATCTGGAAATTGATGTTATTATAATAAGTGTGAGTCACTTATATAATATTTTTTTTACAGTTGTTAAAAATAAAAACTGAAACTTCTCAATTCAGAAGATAAAAGAAACAATTTGATTTTTTAAAGTACACTAGATTATGATACTTTATAAAATAAAATAAATTATTTACACTCCGTGTTAATTATTTTTAAAAATGTCCATTTAAAAATACTTAAAATGTTTAAATTATTTTGGCTTGTTCTTGTTGGGAGGATTTCTTCCTCCTCCTCCTCCACCACCACCACCACCACGTCCTATTTTTCCACCTCGGCCGCCAAATGCACCACCTAAAATCAGAATTTTTATTAGACAAAGTAATTTTAAACTAATAAAAACTTATGAAATAATGCAGAAAAATAGTATTATTTAGATCTCCAAGCTAACAAAGCACTAATGTAACAAAACAAATAGCATTGAACTGTGTGGAGTGTGTATAAACATCATCTTATCTAAAAATAAATAATTTAAAAAGAAAAGGTTTAGATAACAAATAATAATAGTGCAAGGTAGAAGAATGTAAAAATACATTGACTTTGAAGATATACATCTTTAATGAAATACAGGATAAGGTATTTATCTTAAGCATTATTATATAAAACTATTGGAAAAAAAAAACTCTGTATATAACGGTATTAAGGATATTGTTCATGATTACAGAAGTAACATTCTTAAGATAGATTGGAGAGAGTTCCCCGAAAAGTTAATAAGTATTTTAAATATAAAAAATATTGGAGCAAATAATGGATGTTAATTACAAATGCCAACTGACCCCTGGTGTCATCTAAACATTAAAATTCCAATAAAAAAAAAAGCCTATCCTTGTAAGATTTGGTAATAACAAAAAACACACTTTTTCATCACCAAAAACCACAATATCAAACTTTCCAATTTGAATCAAATCCCCTGCATTCATTATGTTACAAATGAAATCCAATTTCTTCTAATCTTAACCTAATAAATGTTGATGCGTTGGTGAGACACTAAAAACTTTTGTTTATAGTTAGTAATTTTCAAGCTTCTTGACGATTGGCACAGTAGATAAAATTTACATTTTAACAGTGGGCCTTGACAATCTGAGGATTTTATGCCACTAAGCCATAATAAACAAACATTTTGATAAAACATACAGGTACAAAAGTAATTTAGAACTATATTGAGCCAAAAAATTACAATGAAAGTTAATTAAGCTTAATCATAGATACAGTGATTAAACTTCTCTGTATTTCTATCAATGGCACCTATGCAGGGACAATTAAAATAAAAACTCAGATATACTAACCAAGTATTAGAGATATTAATTGCATAAATAAAGACGTTCGGTACAGTGTTTAGTGGAAATGCAATGGAAAAAAATCTTGATCCAGGTTTGGAAGTTAAAAATGGATTGATGAATTATCATCATCCCAAGCTCTACAATTCATTACTGGATCTTGGCAGGCTCAAGAGTTGTCCTCCATTTTTTTCTGTTCTGAGCAGCGGTCTACCAGTTCCTGATTCCAATAATTCGCGTATCGGCATTGTCTCCATCTATCCATCTCAGCTTTCTATCTTCTCACTTTCTTTTTTCACCCCATTCCATGCTGAACAGCTTCTTGTGAGTTGAGGTTTTGTCCACCCATTTCAGCCTTGCTATCTGGACAACTTTCACCACATCCGGCTTCTTGTATAAATTGGCTAGCTCTTGGTTATATCTAATTCACCATTCATTATTCACCTTTTCAGGGCCAAATACCTTCCGAAGAAACTTCCTTTCAAAAACGAGCATTTTTCTCTCAGTGGCCTTCATCAATGTTCATGTTTTACACCCGTATGTCAGAATTGGTTGAATAAGGATTTTGTACAGGAAAATTTTAGTTGATTGCAGTAGTGAACGGCTTTTCATATACTTCAGAAGGCTATAATAACATTGTTTGCAGCAACATTCTCTACTTCACCTCCTGGTTCGTATCATTATCTGCAGTCACTAACTTGGATGGTTGGATCAGTTTGACGGAAGTCAGTTGTCAAATACTTGGTCATTCCTTCATTGACCTCAAGTCCCAATCTTTACTGCTTCTGCCTCTAGCAAGCTGTAAGCGTCTGACATAGCTGTCAAGAATCTCCCAATAATACATATATTATTTGCATAAGCTAGTGTTTGAGTGCTTTTTGTATATAAAGTGCCGCTTGTTTGAATACCAGCATCTCTCACTACACTTTTCTCAAACCTCGTCCACACTTGAATTTATTCTCCTTACATGGTAACTGGTGTCCGTCATAGCCGCCCTGAACAAGCTTATTAGCTTTAGTGCGACTTTAAGTTTTTCTGTTGCCATATATAATTTTCCTCACCACACACTATCATATCCTGCCCTTAAGTCTACAAAAAGCATATGCATATTGGAGTTGTACACGTTAAATGACTGTGATTCTACATCATAAGTGACCAGTATATCTATGCAGTGCATACAAGATGTGGCACATAATTTTTGCCGATTCCTTCATTAACAAATTAGCCTTACATCTCTCCTTCCTACTGAAGATGCTCTACTTATTTACGGCTTTCCTACAAATTAAAATTTGGGATGGTCAGATGACAAATACAACAGATTTGGGATAGAAGCAGTCAAAGATTGATAAATAATAATAATAATGCTTTATTTATTCTGGGATTAATTCCTTTAGAATAATATAGAGTCAAAAATGTGGGCTAAGGAGCCTCAGAGATAAATAAACAATATAGTTTGAATAATTAGTAAAAATAAAAAATAAATAAAATAATTGAGAAATTAATTATAAGTTACTTTCTAATTTAAATCAGTAAATAATAAAAAATTAAAATAAACATGAAGAAAAAATAATAAAGAACGATCTAATAATTTATATACATATTTACAGTAGTAACTATTTACAATTTTATGAGGACTGGATGGATAAGAAATGATTAAACAGTCAGGATTTAAAGGTAGAAAGGGTTTTGTATTGACGGATGTGGGGAGGGATCGAGTTCCATAGGGAAGAGGATGGAATAATAAAAGATTTATCGAAAGCAGCGGTTCGGTGGGCCATTATATATAAATCTGAAGACCGGGAACGGGTACTGCGGGAGTGGACAGAGGATTTAAATTGAAGGAGCTCGGAGATGTATGAAGGAAGGCAGGAGTGAATTACTTGGAAGAGGAAGGATGCCAGGAAATACCTACGGCGGTAGGAAGGATAAAGCCATTTCAACTCTTCATAGAAACAAGAAACAGGGGCGTCTCTTGGGATCCCGAAGATGAATCGTACAAAGCAATTTATCGAACGTTTTAGTTTCGCCTCGAGATCTCCAGAGACGCCTCCATATACCGTGCAGCAATAGACGAAGTGGGGAAATATTAAAGAGGTGACCAGGAGTCTACGGATTTCAAAAGGAAAAAGGTGTCGCAGGCTATTTAAGTGTTTTAGGGTGGAAAAGGTACGTCGGGAGATATTGGACACAGTTTTTCCAGGAAAGGGTTTGATCAAAGATTATTCCAATGTTTTGATGGTGGGATACAATTTGATGGGATTATCATGTAGGAACCGGGTTGGAAAGTTAGGAACAGTTTTGAGGAGGTGATTGGAGGTTATTAGGATTATCTTTGCCTTTTCCGCATTGAGCTTCAACTTGTTAGCTCTCGCCCAGTCACAAATTCTATCCAAGTCTTCTTGAAGTTTTTCTGTGGCAGATAATAGGTCGGAGGGCGGGAACGACAGGTATATTTGGAAATCATGAGCATAGATGTGGTATTGGGAGTGAAGGATCAGGAGGGGAAGGTCATTAATGTAAATAGCTAACAGAGTAGGAGATAAGGAGGAACCCTGAGGGACACCACAGGAGAGGGGAAGTGTCTTTGAAGGAGGTTGATCTGGGACGACTACATATTGGGATCGATTGGAAAGGAAGGATTTGAACCAACACAGGACACTGTTTGTTAGAGAAAGATTTTACAATTTGAATAATACTATTCTTCCATTCATTCATACCACTAGAAAAAAGAACTTATCTACATCTCTCTTCAATTAATACACAATAATAATAATATTCCATAAATATATCATACGTTGTGCTCCTCGACCACGCTGCTGACCACCACGGCCCTTCACTTCACTTCTGCCTCTAGATTTAACTACAACTTCTTCTTTCACCATGTCTATTACCTCATCAGGAATTCTCAGATATTTAATAGTACTACCTCTTATATAACATTCCGGCATCCTCCAAAACTTATCACCATCCTAAAAGCAAATATTACTAATAATAAAATTAATAGAAAATACAAATTTTATTAAATTAATTCACAATTAAAAAACTTTCAAACAAGTTATTAAACAATCACAATATGTTGTTGCTTCATATATAATGATATAAAATATTAATTTATATTGGTTTTTAAAAGAATTTTCTGTTGTGCTCAGATAACTATTATTGTAAAAGTAATACAATTTGAAAATGAAAAACAATTTTCCCCATTCACTCCTAGGTTACTTACTACTGGTTCACTAGCCTTTGTCTATCAAACATAAGTCAAGTCAAACATTTATTAACTATTCAAATAAATTATAAAAACTTGAATTAATAAACTAAGTAAATCAATCATTACAGCACCAAATTAGAAATAACAATAATTCCAGATAAAATACTATCACTGAAAGATATATCACAATCCTATCACCAATTGATCATTGAATAAAACATAACTGATTCACAATTACGGCTGTATAATGTAGAAATAGAGCTTCTGACAAAGTACATAATGTCATGCATTACATGCTGTATAGAAACAATACTAATGGGGACTAAAGATTAAATATATTTATTTATATTTAGATACAACAGTACAAACTTTATGGAAAAAAAAAAAAAAAAAACAATGAAAGAGAAAAGTAAATTTTATTTCAGAGCAAATAATAGAGAACATATAGTCAACATTTGATGACACAAATTCTTTTTAAAATAAAAAATTACTTTTTATGAGATAATCTGATCACAAAGTCGAAAAAAAAGATGATCTACAAAAATATTTGGTCACACCAAACAGACCAATATTTTTTAAGTATTTGATCATATTATCTTACAATTCAAGTGGATGAGTTTTTAGTACCTAATTAAATAGAAAAAGTTTGAATACCACCCAATTCCAAGAATTTTCAAAATAAATATTTGTAGGTTAGGATGAGATTAAGTTATTTACGAAGTTTTAGGCAGATGTTAATAATTTGATAAAAAGGGGTCTGCATCACAGACTATATAATAGATTTGCAAGATTTAGTGAAAATTTTATATTTTTACATTTTGAAAAAAATATTTAGAATCACTAATGAGTCACTCTTATATTATTTGGCCAATTGATGTCCCCAGTCTTTACATTTTTTTTTTCACATGCTTCTTCAGGTTGAAAAAAAAGTAATGATATTTTTTGTATTGTTTCTAAGTAACATTGGAATTGGAACATTAAAATAAATCTACCTCAACCACAAGAAGAAATATCTCAATGTGTATGTAAAAAAAAAAAAGTAATGAATGTTACTGTCCATAAGTTCTTCATCATTTGATATGACATTATCTGTATCCATTAATTTTTAACCATGAGAAATTTTACTGTTATAAGATGGTATTTCGAATTATAGATGCCTCTTTATTTGTCCCAAATACTTTGATTGTAAAGTATGAAAATTGGTTTGTCCACAAAAATTGGTGAAAAATGACAACAAATGTTATGGGTTTTTCTTAAAATACTGTTTGTTTAAATTTTAATTATATGACGGAAAATTATTTTAAAAAATCTGTTTGTGGTGCCAGCTATCAGTCCATCTGTAATCTTGAGGCATACAAGAGCTGAATGGAGATTATACATTGTCTTCTTTCTTCCAAAACATGCACAAAAATCATGTGTAACGAATGTTACCATTATTTTACTTAACATTGTTCAATTAACATAATGGATAATAACTGCAAAATAAGTAGTTTCGGGGCATTTATTTTGGAATTTCATAGAGAGAAATACTTTATTAAAAGTAATGCTACCCTACTAAATAGGATTGCTTCGTACACGGCATACTTATCTATCCATATGGACATTAATTTTATACTACATTTTTCTATTTTATATTTATATATATATATATATATATATATATATATATATATATATATATATATATATATATATATATATACATATATATATATATATATTGTAATGTACACCTTTATTGGAAGTGAGTAAAAAGGATTCAATAAATTAATGAGAGTCACAAAGAAAGAAACATATAATATATAAAAAGGTTAGCTTGCCAATCCATATTTGACTTTATGTTAAAATCGATCAGTGTTTAGTATAGTTAATTTTAGTTTGCCTGAGTTGACCTGATTGTCAGTAACCCACACCTGAGATAAATAAATATATTAGGATCACTTCTCCCATCCCCTCTTCACTGCAGCCACATACCAACTGCTTGCCAAAACAAAACCTTTGTCCCTCTCCTCTTAGGGATTTTCCTTCTTGGGAAACTATAGAGTAGCCATTTTCTTTTCCCTGCACTAGTAGAACTAGATTAGCTTGCCTTTTAATTGTTCAGCATTAATTTATTGAATCCTTTTTACTCACTTCCAATAAAGGTGTACATTACAATATATATATAACATATCATTCCTTTCTTATTTGTTTTTCTCTCCCCTTTCATAACAATACTCTTTTAAATTATCAACAATAAACCATATTAAACAATAGACATAGCATAATAAACATTTCCCTAAGATAAAAAAAAAAAAAAAAAAAAAAAACTTCTTTTTCTTTTTGAATTCTCAAATGGCAGGAGCTCAATACAACATCACACACAGATATAACACAGCAATTCCACGAATGTAGACAAAAAGATAAGACGATTATTGATCAATTTAAAATTTAATAAACAATTAATACAAGACGTCCTCAATCAGTATATAGATGACAGTGGATGATCCCCAGGGAGTCCAAAATAATATTTTCAGCCAATATCACTAGCTCCTCAACATCAACATCTAGTTCCTCGAGGAAGCTCCTTGTTCTTTCCGGGATTGTTCCGCGAGACCCAAACCAGAGGCCTCTCACGGTGAACTCTCTCTCTCCGAAGGTCTCGCGGAATTTTTCTTTTGGGAAAGGGATGCATTTTTCGTATATGTTCCTCTTTTCCCTTTCCACTTCACCCATCTGATCGAGGTCATTGCTCTTAAAGTGGACAGTTGGATCCAAGATTAGCGCTGTCCCTCCTGTCCTGGGAAACGCGACAATACCCGCATACCTAGTAGAGCCTTCACTGTCTATACAATAGATCTCGTCAAAGCAGACGAATTCCTTTTCTCTAAGGAGCCTCATCACCTCGAACTTTACCCTATGGTGGCGGTGTGTTATGAGGAGGGAATTGTTGGGGCATTTTCTCAGCACTTGGGCTGGTGTTTCCGACTCTCTGCCGCATTTACGACAGAGGGACCCAACTTCCTTCGACTGTCCACTGGCTCCTGGGACTTCATATAAAGGTGCATAGTTGATGTTTAGTTTTAAGGCGCTGGACCATTGGACCACCCCGAAAGCACTTGTTTCTGGCATATGTATTTGGTTAAATCAGTAACAGCAATTTTGTATGAAAACATAACGAATGTTACAATTATTCGAATAAATTTAATATAATTTATTTAAATTGTTCCTACTACCAATTGATCATATCAGTATTTTTATTATGAAAATTTAGAGAACAGAAGGAAGATTTTAGTTGTTTACATCATAGGCATTAATGAAAAAAATGAAAATCATCATTTTTGAAAAAACATTTCTCATGTTGACTTATAATATTTATGGTTTACTTTAATATATTTATTATATTAATAACCATTATATCTTTCCAATATACTAATGAAGTTAAAAATAAACTGTTTGAAGAAAAAAATCCTCGTTTAATAAACTTTTAAGTCCATATTAATTAAGTTGTGGTTTAAAAAAAAAATTAAAAATGAAAAAAAAAATTAATACTAATATTAAGAAAATTGACTATCGAAGATCAAATTTGTTATCCATGACATATTCTATACTAATAATATTTGAGATTAATTTTTCTATAAAAAGTTGATTTTTTTTTTTTATCCGAATTGCTAGATCCAGAAATCCTAAATTGTCAAATAATATAAGAATGACTCTACTACACCTTTAAATGTAAACCGTAATACTTGAAGCTAAAACTATTCATAGTTCGAAACGATGTACCTATTCAACAGAAATAATCAAGAGTTAACGTATGTAATTTTTTTAAAATCATGTGATAAGAGTAATGGTTTCGAAAATTAAGTCCTCGGCAGTACTTCCGACAATTTCAAGTTCCATTATTCTGCTTACCTTTCAGATTGCTTTTGTAGACTAGTCATTCCTCCCAAATTTGTACTGCATCTGTTAAAAACAAAAGAAAATAATACAAGTTTTCACTAACTAGAGAGCGTGTATCTTAGTACGAGAGCAAACTAGTCACTCACCTTTCCTTCTTTCAATTCCAATTTGCCAACGAAATGCATACTTTTACAAAACTATCAACAACAATAAAATTTTTAAATGGGATATACAAACTAGACTTGCTCAACTTAGCAATTAAAAAATTACTTTATTTCCAAAATGGCCATTTTGCTGAAATGCGCAATATAACAACCAAGTTTGATCGATAGAAAATTGAATTTAACTTATCCTCTAATATTCAGTAAAAATAGACCTTTTTGAACCAGTTTAATCCATATTATGCAATGACTTCTAACAATTGCATAATTTCCATTACAATTTAAAACTAAAAACTATCAATAACTAAAAAAACTTACTTTTATTTCAACATGAAAATAATATTTAGCCACTAGCGAATTAAGAAACAAAATTAGAAGAAATGCTTTCAAAGAAAATAAAGATATTCAAGACTTATGGAATGTTTTGTTCACTATAAGTTCATTTCTGTAAAATTCCAAACATAAAATCCCAAAATACAAATAAAGGCAACTGAGTCAAGAAATAACAATCATCATCTTATGAGACTAGTAAAATTCACATGTTAAGACATTGAAGTTGTTCATGCTTCAAATTATGTTACGGTTTCCAACTTCTTTTAAGTATTGATGTTGAGTACATCCATTGTTAAATAGTGAATGGGCAAAATATTTACATTTATTTTATTGTAAAAGTATTTTTTTCCCCATATTTTCTTAAACTTTTCATCAAATCTAGTGATTGAGCCATCATTTTGAAGATTGACGTCTCATTCAGGTGCAAAAATTAAGCCCCTACCCAAAAAATTCAAGAATAAATAATAAAGAAAAGGAAAGTGTATTATTGTCTAATTAAAAAAATATAAAATTTATGGTAGATTTTACTCATAATTTAAAAGATTTCTAAATTCACTAGAAAAAAAAAATCATCAAAATCGGACCATTATTAACAAAGATTACAGTCTATTGTAATTTGTACCGGTGTTTTGGTTTATAGGAAGGCCGAGGACGAGATGGTTGGACAACGTGGCCTATGATGCGAGAACCCTGCTTGGTGTACGGAACTGGAGAGCTGCAGCAGAAGACAGAGCCAACTGGCGGAGGCTCTTGGAGGAGACCCAGTCTCGGTAACGGGATGTCGTGCCACACATGATGATGATGATGTTTTGGTTTATTATTTTTTGCACACTGTATAATAATGGAACAAAATTATGAAAGACAATAGAAGAGAGCATAGGCATGACACTGCAAAAACAAAGAAGGAAAAGTTGAGGTGGCAACAGAATTGGCTTTACAGTTTTATAGAACACTAGAAATTGCATAATATTTGCATAGATCAGGGAATACATAATCAGGGTAAAGAAACTACAGTACAGACATGCATGCACACAAAAGTTATTAGTGTGAATCGTCAGTTTTAAACAATAATTACGTTTAATATATATTCAAACTAGATTGCCTGTAATCTAACGTAGTTGCCGAAATGTGATCATTGTACAGTAAGGAGCAGAAAGATGGTAAACACGAATCAGTTACAGAAGCCGGAAGGAATAACTTAGTCTTTGTCAGGGATAAGGAAAATCAGACAGACCTTAATTAAGGCTCTTGGCTTATGACATAAAAGAATTAGATTGATTAATTCAAGATTATTCTCCATAATTTTGAACATTAAATTATATATTTACTTAGCAAAACTTAAAATTCTTACTTACCCTTGAAGTGCAAATTACTTCTCTAAGGTTAATATTCATCCAGTTGTCACAGCTTACTAAATGGCCGTTGTATGTCTCACCATTTTTTAATTCAACTAGCTAAAATTAAAAATCATAACTTACAAAAATATTAAATACTGATTGAAATTTATATCTTCCTTAAGATTGCCAAGTGAATAGATTAGTAGTTTTAATAGCCACTACTAATAGCATTGATAAATTAATAATTCTAATCAGTATTACATTGTGATATGTGAGGTTACACTCATAAACATGAAACTTGTCAGAAATTGTTTATTACCCTCCCTATAATAAGTGGTAAAAAGTCTCAAAGAATCCCGCATCAGGTTTTGGTGGGAGGAGGGAGAGAAGGTCATAGAAATGATAGTTTTTTAAGAATATCTCTAAAACTATGAGGTTTTTTGCATAGATTGTTCAGTATAATATTAAAGTATTTTTTAAAAAATCTATAAAAATTATTCTATGCATTTTTTAAATAAAATTAATGGTTACGGACATATTTATAAGATTATATTTATTGTATTTCCACTTTAAACAAAAATTGCTTCTAACCACAAAATTTACGTCTTCAAGTTTAAATTGACATTAATTTCATAAAATTGATAATACATGATAGAATACATTAAAACTTATAAAAATTTACCGTAAACCGTGGGTCTGATTATGTACAGAGAACCAGAAAACTTTAGAAAATTTTTTGTAATTTTTAAACTAACTACGTTTTATGTGCCAACTACGAGTAAAAAGGATATCTAAAAAAAATGTTTGATTTAGGTTAAAACCAATTACTTCGTAGTAAACTAGATTAAATCTAAAATAAAAAAAGTAAATCCTGTCTACTTTAAAACCATTTAAAGGGAATTTTGAAGCAGTTAAACTACGAAGTATGGTTTTTCAAAAAATCTAGGATTCTTCGGGATTTGTTTTGTAAAATCTTAATTGGACTAAAGAAAATACCACTTTCAGAAAAACTTCCTTGTTTGATGATCTTCAAGTCTATATTAATTAAGTTGAGTTTACATTTTCTCTAATTCAGTAAAAATATTATTAGTACAGTAAAATTAGGGATGAATTTTACCTTATTCTGTAACAAACCAAAACTTAATTAATACAGACTTAAAGATCATTAAACAAGGAAGTTTATCTGAAAATGTGGTATCTTCAGTCCAGTTGGGAGGATATAAAAAAGTTGCGAAGAATACTTAATTTTATGTAAAACTGAATTTAACTGCTTGATAGTCCCCTTTAAATTGTTTTATAATAGACAAGAATCACTTTCATTTAATGTAGATTCAATCTAGTTTACTATAAAGTAATTTGTTGTAACCTAACAAACATTTTTTTTAGTTTTTGCATTTTATTCAACATAAAACGTGGTTGGCTTAAAAATGACAAAATTTAAGCTTTCTGGTTCTCTCTATATATAATCAGATCATTGTTTATAGTAAATTTTTACCATAAGTTTCAATGTCTAGTATCAGGTATATAAAATTAATGTCAATCTAAACTTCATATCATTATCACGAAATTCCCCATTGATTGATATCGAATATAATTCTGTAGTCAATGACTTTTTAGAATCATTAAAAGAAAGAAACATTGAATAATAATTTGAAGGATCGAAAATGTTAAAAAATTATTTCAACTTCAAAAAGATGTCTACTATGAACAAAATCAATGGTGTGGTGGAAATACAATAGATATCTCTGTAACCATTGATTTTCCCAAAAAATGTATAGTTTCATATTTACAGAGATTTTAAAGTACTTTAATATTATATTAAACAATCTTTGAAAAAAACCTCATAGTTTTTTAGATATTCTTAAAAAACAAAAAAAAAAAAAATATCATTTTTCTGTCATTCCTCCCTTGCCCCCATCAAAACATTTATTATATGGAGGCTAATAAACAATAAGTTTCATCTTTATTTTTTTAATGTTGGGGTAAAGCTGTTTCATCCCCTAACTTTACTGGACTATCAATACTACTGCCACTTTCAGAATTCTATCTGCACCATGGTGGAGTGACAAAACGAAAATATTTTTCCACCATTTTAAAAATAATACAAGTAATTAATTGGCCTGAATGAATAATTTGTATGGCATAGTGGTCAGTCGCTAAATGGTAATATGTCTGAAAATAGGTAAATTTTAAAATACAAGTTAATTTGTTCTACTGTTTGATTATAAAGATTCATGCATTGAGGCATCATCGGACTTTTTACATTTTACTTTCAAGATTTCTGTATGAGTTCAAAAGTTACAACTAAGCTTTAGAATGGTAAACATACAAAAACTATCTTAAATTTTTTTAGTACAAGTAATTTAAATTAAACATTGATGACTTCCATAAATTCAAATGAATATGACCTAGCACATACAACCATCATTAGATAACAAACAAAAGTACTTTTCTTTTGACAGTCACTCAAAGAATTTGAACATTTAACTCCCTCTTAATGGGACAATAACCAGTATAAAAGATACATTAACAATGTAACACATAATACCAACTACGGCCATTGTAAACACAACAGGAAAAAAAGAACGAATTCGTTACAATGCGAATGCAATATACTAAACACAAATTTATTTAAAATACTATGTAAACTAACATACCATAGGATGATTTTGTGCCGTCCTCAACAATGATAAAGGTAGCTGTAAACAAAAACCATGTTTAAAATTATTTGGATTATAAAAACTAGTATCAAGTGATATAAAATCATTAATTACCCACCATTTTTTAAAATAAGCAAACAGAACTCACAATGTCGAAATTACCTCCCTGAATGGTTATAAATTCGAACCGACAATCTGCGAGCTAACTGTAGTTCCGATAAAGTAAATAGGTAAATGTATTAAAATTAACTTCAATATCGATAACTCGTTGGATTGCTGAAGAAATAATTAAATTGATGCAACTAATATTCTAGTTTTCTTAAATTTGATATTATCAGGATATCATTATAAAGATTTCATTATTTATGAAATACCAATTCAAATTCTTTTCAGACAATATTAAATTTTCGAATATTGTCTCTACCAAATAAGGACGGCCAGGCTTAAGAGAGGAGAGACATTTCAAAACTAATGATATGTCACGAGTAGATTAGAATAAAGTTTCTAAACTCAGTGCTGAGCACATTGATGGTATCATTTTGCTCGATTTAGAGACAGGTATAAGATGCTATCGGTAAGCTGATTATTGAATTAAGAAACCTGTCCATTATTACTGTGACTTTCCGCCATTACACTTTACACTAATAAGAAACTTTAGGTTTTCACAGTAAACCTATTCAAAGGAATCCATTTTCTTGTGTCTTATTCATGAAGGACGTTTCCTTTCTGAGGGAACTGCGAAAATATTAAGCGAAATTGATGAAACAGAAGGCTCGCTCGGTAGAAGTTTCACTAATTGTTCTAAAAAGTAGAATTACCTAAGTGAAGGAAAAGAATACCA